GTAATGTGAATTTCTAGTTCTTGAAAGCTATTTAGGATAATAAAGACAGGTTAGTAGTTAGTCATCATAACAGTCTAATTTAGGTGTCTTTTCAAGATCAAACAGAGATATATTTTAACTAGATAGGTGGCCTTTAAACACTTCGGAGACCTACAGAATATGATATTTAAAACAGAAGAGGAGTGAATTGAGAGGGTTGAGTCAGATTTTTCCGTGGGCTGCCAACTCTCAAGTACTGACACAGAGACTTAATTATGAAAGCTCAGTCTTAGCCTTGGTTTATAACTCTTATAACTTAACCTGTTTTTATTTTTATTTTTTTAATATTTTATTTATTATGTATACAATATTCTGTCTGTGTGTATGTCTGCAGGCCAGAAGAGGGCACCAGGCCTCATTACAGATGGTTGTGAGCCACCATGTGGTTGCTGGGAATTGAACTCAGGACCTTTTTGGAAGAGCAGGCAATGCTCTTAACCTCTGAGCCATCTCTCCAGCCCCTTAACCTGTTTTTATTAATCTACATTTACCATTTGGTTTTTTACCTTTCTTTCATTTTGTATGTCCAACTCCCTCCTCTTCTGTTTCTCTTTAGAAAGGACCAGGTCTCTTATGGGTATAAAAATATTAAATACTTCATGAATTTGCATATCATCTTTATGCAGGAACCATGCTAGTCTTCTCTGTATTGTTCCAGTTTTAGTATATGTGCTGCCAAAGTGAGCATGCTTAATAACTTTTTAAAAAAATTTATCTCATGGGTATATGTAACATGAGGACCTGCTTGTTGGGGTTTATATCCTGACCAGTTCCCATAGCCAGTAAGCCCCCAAAGAAAATCACACATAGGTCTACATAAGTTATAAACTGATTGGCCCATTAGCTCAGGCTTCGTATTAGCTCTTATAACTTATATTAACCCATTATTCTTATCTATGTTAGCCACATGGTTCAGTACCTTTTTCAGTGGGGCAGGTTACATCCTGCTTCTTCAGTGTCTGGACAGGACTGGGAAGGAAGCTTCCTTCTTCCCAGAATATTCCTGTTCTCATTTCTTTGCCTCTACTTCCTGTCTGGTTGTCCTGCCTATACTTCCTGCCTGGCTACTGGCCAATCAGGGTTTATTTAAAACATAATTGACAGAATATAGATAATTCTCCTGCACTAGGTATGGGTGTTTTATTTGCATGAATGCCTGTGTACCACTTACATGCAGTGCCTTGATGGCTAGAAGGGGGCATCAGATCCTCTGCAACTGGAGTTACAGAGAGCTCTGAGCTACCATGTAGGTCCTGGGAACTGAACCCAGCTCTTCTGGAATGACAGCCAGTAATCTTAACTGCTGAGCCATCTCTCTAGCTCCTCTTAATAACCTCTTTAAGATGTAACCTGAAAGCCACCAAAATGGAACACACATCTAACACTAACACAGCAATGGCAGCTCTCCCTTGAGCCCACTTGACATTTAAGTATGAAATACGCTCTTTCTGATCAGTTCTTTCTCTTAGCCCTCATCTCATGCTTAGAACCTGTATTAAAATTCTCTCTCTCTCTCTCTCCCTCTCCCCCCTCCCTCTCCCTTCCTCCCTTCTTTTCCTTCCTTTCTTTCTTTTTGAGACAGGATTTTTCTATATAGCCCTGGCTGTTCTGGAATGTGCTATGTAGATCAAGCTGGCCGAGAATTCACAGAGATCTACCTACCTCTGCCTTCTGAGTTTTGAGATTAAAGGTGTACACTATCATACCCATACTGTATTAAAGTATCTAATAAAATCTCCAGTTCTGCTTCATACTGATGGGTTCTTAAATTCTTTTCTGTATTAAAGCCATAACTCTGTTTGGCCCGAGTCGAGGCTCCTAACAGATTATGGGAACTCTCCAGGCTTCTAACGGAAACAACACAGAGCTCAGCTCCTCCATCTAACTTCTGACAATGTCCAGCATCCCCTTTGGGCCTTGGATTGTCTTCTAAGGATAGGGGAGCTACTGTACAAGCCGGGAAGAAGACCCTCACCAGAAACCAACCAAGATGGTTTAGCTTCAGCCTTTAAACTATGAGAAAACAAATTCCTATCGTTTAATCATTCATCTCTGGTATTTTGCTATGACAACCCTGTAAAACCAAGGCAGACAAGTAATATAAGTCTGCTTGTAATAGAATATTTGCTTATTGAGTGTTTACATATGATAATTGTTTAAGACTTATTTTCATTAACTCCTCGTCATAATGAAGTAGAGGGTAGCTGAGCCTTCTCATCTACAGTTTTTTTGGTATTGTCATTAAATTTTAAGGGCCTAATTAAGAGCATGTTTGCAGACTGGCCGAGGTTATTTCATGGTATAAGCTGAAGTTGGGACAGTAAATCTGGGGGAAAATGGTATGTATTCAGAATGCAGAAATTCTAATTACCCCATCAATAGTTTCCATCATTTTAGTATTTCTTATCTGCAAATACATTTCCAGAATCATCTCCTGTGCTAGCCTTGGCCTTCCAAGAAACACACAAGATAAAATTAAACATGCAAGTAACATATTAGGAGAAATGTTTGTTCAAAGTAGGGAGGGAGCCAGCAAGGCTGTGAGAGCCTTCAAAACGTGATGGAGATGTGATCCAACGTGAAGAAGACAGATAGGGAAGACAGGTTTCAATAAGAAAGCACATTAGGTGGAAATACAGTTTTGTTCTGCAAGACCACTGGGAGGCCATGAACTGATGTTGCCCTCTAGAAGAAAGAGCTGGTCCTTGACTCTCAGGAAAGGGCCTGCCGTCCATACGCTGTGTGCTGCGGTTAAGTTGTTGGCTGAGAGAGTCCAAAGGCAGCACATCTTCCAAGTTCAAAGGGAACATGATTTCAAAGTGTAGCGCTTGTGGTTCATAATCCGACATGATGAAAGCATTCTCGTGGTTGCCACACCCAAGTCTCCAGATAGACAGTGAAAGAATTGAAACTGAGATCCTGAGGGCCGCACCATCGCTTGCTCGGGGGTGAAGGGAAATACACACACACCAGAGGTCAGGAGACTGCCCGGCGAGTGCTGTGGGAGAAACTCGGGTGTTTTTTGAAAACATGAAAGAGAAAAAAGCCCGGTTTTCATAGCATTCTTACTCAGGAGGGGAGAGACAAAGACATGAATGAAATAAGTATGATCACTGTACCAGATAGCGGAGAAAATTAGAGAGGGGGTGCTGGGGAGTCTCAGCTGCAGTCATTAGAGGGTGAGTCAGAGAAAGTCTTTGTGAAATGTCGTGGGCGAAAACCGAAGGAGGTGCAGATGCTGTGAACTCAAGAGTTCCAGGCAGAGGGTGCAGGGAGCGCGGAGGCCGCTCTGGATATCCAGCATCGTGCCTGCAAACCACTCTCAGTCATTCAGAAAATAACCTTTCTGTATACAGAGCGACAGAGGAGGAGAGAAGGAACGACGAGGCCAAATGTAAACAAATGTGCCCTGGAGCAAGGCTGGCAGTCCTTGCTCTGTCACTCGGACCATTTTCCGCCCCCCCCCCCCCCCCCCCCCCCCCCCCCGCCAAAACAAATAGAAAAGCCAGAAGAAATTACCTGTAGGCATGCATATGGGATTATAAGAATTTAAATTTGGCCTTTAATTAGCAGCGGAAGGATCTCTGAGCGTGAGATGGGTCTGAGGGCCTGGATGGGGGGCGCCAAGACAGCAGCCAAAGACTGGCGCTGTAGCTGGGTGGCAAAGCATTTGCTTAGCATGCGTGAGGTTAGGACTGCTGGAGCCTGGAAGGTGAGAACTGAGGCAAGGAACTAAATTTAAATGTCAAGGCTTGGGACAAAGGCCTTAACAACCATGGAACCATCTTGCTTTCACTTTGTGGGCTCATTTTTGCAGACGGGATGATAGATACTATGCCGTCCAGTCTGGCTTTGAACTTGAGGTCCTCCTGCCTCAGTGCTGGATCCAGGGTTGTATAAGCTTTCATCTTCAAAGGCATCAAACTATGACATATTTTGCTAAACATATTTCTGACTACTCATATGTTAAATTAGCCACCATATCTATCCATACTTAAAATGACAAAGCCATTTCAAGTCTGCTTCTTTTTGGGGTGGTCCTGTGAACTGACCCCCAAGGTCTGGTATACACTAAGCAGTCTTGGTATCAGAATTTTAAATCAATTTCTTTAAGCGGGAAGCTGAAAAGATCCTTTTCACCGACAGAGAACATACAGTATGTCCTGTGATATGTTAACTATGAACTGCTCTGTACTGCTACCATTCCAGGGTGAGCATCCTTAAGTTCTGGTCCTGAGCAGGGCATGGTGGTTTGTAACTATGATCTCAGCACTTGGAAGCAAGCCAGTAACACACCAGTGAGTTCCAGGCCACCTTGCTACAGTCTCATAACAAAAACGAGCGTTGTTCCTCAAAGCATCTAGACAGGCAAACATCACTGCCACACTGCTACTTCTCAAAATACTTCAGAGAGGTCCTTCAGCATCCCTGATATGTGACCTGTGAACACTGATGTCTTTACATAGCGTTTGCTATCTTCCTGGGATAAAAGTGGTATTTTCTGCCAGGTGGAGTGGTGCACACCTTTAATCCTAGCACTCTGCAGGTGGATCTCTGTGAGTTCTAAGCCAGCCTGGTCTACAGAGTTAGTTCTAGGACAGCCAGGGTTACACAATGAGACCCTGCCTCGAGAAAACAAAAGGCATTTCCTGGTCTAATTCTACTTTATTTATATCCACTGAGTTTCTCAGCAGAGAAAGATGTCACTACCAATACTCAAAGGAATGAGTCACAGGAGAATCCCAAATGACTGCAAAGAATATGGCAGAAAGAAAAAAAGGTATAGGTTGTATGTAGTCAAGTCCTTCAGATACGATTTCCAGATCACATGACATGAGTCATAAGCTGCTAGTCGGTGACACTCCCTCAACTAGACGTGAAGACAACGAAACTGTTTTCAGCATCAACAAACCTAGGTTTCTGTTTGATCAATAAGATAATGTAACTGAAACAATTAAATGTAAGGTATTACTTTTATTAAATAAGTAGTATTTATTTTTGTACAGTGTTGCAAGTGACTCTTCAGCTTGTCTAAAGGCAGCACTGGCTCCTCCCACTCATCTATAATGTTAGTTAGCCTTGATTGAGTTCCAGGAAATTGGGGAGATTTCTTCTTATTTCCCCAGATCTGTATACTACAAATGGATTTCAGAGCACGAACGTAAAATGTAAAGTAAAATAAAAGTAAAAATATATAAAAGAACAGTTCTAAGTACTGACAAGTTTTCTTTGGAATTAAGTAAATTTTGGCTTCTTCTCAATACTCTGTACCCAGATCCACAGCCCTGGAAGAGCTGAGTGGAGGTGGAGGATACATTCATGTAACAGCAAGATGACCGTAGCCAGCTCCAACAAGGGCACAATGGCGACAACCGTCAGGACCGACGCGGTCTCAGTACTGGACTGTGGGCACTGGTGGGCAGTAGCAGTACAGTCAACATGTCTGTCCCCAAGGAGAGAGATTCACAGAAAGAGATGCCAAGCAAGTGGTGTGGAGGAATAAAGCACAGGCTGCAACTCTGAGAAGATTATCTTTTTGTCTAAAAATAGTGGTTCTCTGAAGCACGGAATGTCTTGATGGGGCAGTTTCTATTCGGACATCTGAGGAGGCTTCAGTGAAGACTCCGGCCAATCGTACACGTCCGGGAGCAGGGAAACATAATCACTCCGCCATATTCTTTCTTTAACGTACTTGGCCTTGTCCTCAGGCTCTGGGTATCGGAAAGCCATTTTGTTAGCATACAGGTATTCTGCAACCTGGAAAATAAACAGCATTACCACTTAGGGTCTGAATGTTAACCTATCAGAGAAATAAATAGCATTAGAACACACAGACACAAATACAGAAAAATGGCACTTTTCTTTTTCCAAAATATAAAATAATATTACTTTGATTTGTTTCAAATTATTTTAAAACTATGTAAAGTTTGAAAGATATATTATCTGTCATTGGGCTGGAGAGATGGCTCAGCGGTTAAGAGCATTGCCTGCTCTTCCAAAGGTCCTGAGTTCAATTCCCAGCAACCACATGGTGGCTCACAACCATCTGTAATGGGGTCTGGTGCCCTCTTCTGGCCTGCAGGCATATACACAGACAGAATATTGTATACATAATAAATAAATAAATAAATAAATAAATAAATATTAAAAAAATTATCTGTCATCTCAAGATAACTCAGATGTTCTGGTCACTTTTTTTTAAAAAAAGATTTATTTACTTATTATGTATACAACATTCTGCCTCCATGTATGCCTGCAGGCCAAAGAGGGCGACAGATCTCATTACATGTGAGCCACCATGTGGTTGCTGGGAATTGAACTCAGGACCTCTGGAAGAGTAGCCAGCGCTCTTTAACCACTGAGCCATCATCTCTCCAGCCCTCTGGTCACCTTTCTTGATGTAGAAAAGAATTATGAGTATTTCTTTAAATTCAACAAGCGAATAGAAGTCTAGGTGGCTAATCTCCAGGCAGGTGATATTCCAGTCACCATTCCCATAGCCCTGCTGAAAGGCTGTATTGTTTAGGTGACTCTACCTCCTAATCAGAATGGCCTCAAAGAGCAATCACAACCTTAAATACATTAAGTGCCAAACAAGAATTGAACTGACAAAGAAGCAGACACACCCAGAAGCACAGCTTCATCAGCCACTGTCCTCAAGTATGTGAGGCTGACTCTACTTCAGTTGCTGTCTGCTGCCTTCAGAGAGAATCCTGACCCCCACCATGGTTTTCTGCAAATCTTTGTGTATGCAAGTCACCCTGCTTTAGCTTCTTGTTCTTGGTTCTGGACAGTTCCTCCTTCCTACACCACATGAGATATTGATGGAATACACAGGGCCAATGCTAATCACAGTCTTCAGACCGGGAGCATCAGCATCGTAGGTGAACTTGGAAATGCAAATCCTGGGTTCCACCTCAAATCTATAAAGCCTCGTATGACCACAGCCTGGTCCTACGGCCTGGACTCTGTCAACAAGCGTTTTCCTATTCGAGACATGCTGTCCAGTGCAATAAGCCGGTTCCTTGTAAACTCTAAACTTCTATTTTGTATTTTTAATGCCGTTCTCTTAAAGGGACAAAAATGCTCACTTTTGATTAAAATGTAAAACTGTGCAAAAAAAAATCTTAACAATAGTTGAGTAAAGGCCCATCCACTGAGATAACAATATAAGACAACAAAGAAATTCTGGGGTTCAGTAGTTAGGAACACTTGATGCTCTTGCCAATTATGGGGGCTTCAGTTCCCAGCACCTATATGGTGACTCGTGACTGCCCGTAATTTCAGTTCTAGGAGATCTGATACCCTCTCCTGGCCTTCTTGGGCACCACGATCATGTGGTACAGAGGGGCTTACCAATGAGTGCCAGACACAGTGGCACGTAGACAATACACCCATACCCATAAAAGTAACTTAAAAAAAGAAAGAAAAACTCCCATCAACAGGGGACAAAACTCTTTTTTTCTTTTTAAATATTTATTTATTTATTTATTTATTATGTGTACAGCATTCCTTCCATGTGTGCCCGCAAGCCAGAAGGGGGCGCCAGGTCTCATTACAGATGGCTGTGAGCCACCATGTGGTTGCTGGGAATTGAACTCAGGACCTCTGGAAGAGCAGTCAGTGCTCTTAACCACTGAGCCATCTCTCCAGCCCAGGACAAAACTCTTGAAGAGAAGGTGGGATGCTGTCTTAGCGTACAGGTAACAACGGGCAGCTAAAACCTTAAGGGAAAGTGGGATGGTTTCTAGAGTGCAGGGAACAGCGTGCGGGGTGCTGCCAAAGGGAATGTAAGCTTATGCTTTACCCTGAGATACAAGGCCCGGGCAGAGGAGTTCACAGTGGCACCCACACATCCTGCTGACAAAATGACTAAAAGTCAGCATTTAGATAAGAGCCCCAGCTGGTCATGCACGGATGCAGGGGTTACTGGCGGCAAACTGGGGAACACGCAATAGCCCAGACCTGATACAGAACTCTCCGGCCACTGGGCTATGAGGAGATGGTCAGGGGTTGCAGGCTCCTGTGGCTACAAAGCCATGCATATTTTCCTGACTTTTTTCTCTTAAAAAGGAAAGTCAACCTCTGAAGTGGCAGCAGATTCCCGTCCTTCCCAAGGGTGCAACCAGCCTGGGCTCAGTCTTACAGTAACTCATAGCGGTCTCCTTCACTGTCATACTGGACATAGCAGATGAGGCTACAATACTTCTTCTTAAATAAAAACATCCGAACATGGATCACATAAAATTTCCTTCTAAATATTAGGAACTTATGCACTTGTATGACTTGGACAAGAAAATGTCATTAGAGTTTATGTAAGATGAACAGATGACTTACTTTAATAGCAATGTTAACAGAAACTTCCTGGATGTTAGCAAGTGATGGGTACAGCCTCCCTTGGGCTAACTCTGCATCGGTCAACTGACTTGTCAGTGCCTGAAAGAAAAACCAGTACCATATTTTTGTTTAAACAGAAGAATCTAGTAAAATGAAAAAAAAAAAATTGGAAAACCAAAGTATTATAGACAAATAGAATTTTTATTTCTTGCAAGATTACACTAAACCAATGTAGAAATTAAAACCTCTCATCACAGCTGTACATGGTGGGACACACTAATCTCAGCACCCAGAGGCAGAAGCAAGTGACCTATGAGTTAGAGGCCAGCCTTGTCTACCCTGTGAGTTCTAGGCTAGCCAGGACTACACAGTGAGAGCCTGTCTTAAAAATTAAAGTCAAAAAGCCCCATTCAAACACAACAGAACCGAAACAACTCTGTTCACCACTAAGCAACCAATAAATAACCGGATCTAAAGACTTCATGGTATACTCTGCTTCTGCACACAAAGCTACACACAGTAACGGCTAGGAAGAAAAGACATCAGCACGAGCATTAACGCGAGGTCTTCAGAATCCCCGCTCGGATGTGGTGCTCCATGAGGAATGCGGAGGAGTTACGTTTTGTCTCTGCTGTCACAGCATCACCTTCAGATGCCAGACCACGTGAGACACAGGCACGAGTATCATAAATATGAGCTGATTCACAGCTTATGATCAGACATTTGAACAGTTATGATTTTAACAAGTAAACATAATACAAAAGCAGAAAAATAAAAGGCAATGGTTTGCTAACTTCCTTTTCATTCATAAGGATATTTAATCCACTCTGGTTCTAAGATTCATTCACCTCTATAACCCATACTTTATACATCAGCAATATTTAAACATTACCTTTGCAGCTTCCAAGAAAACACTGTCACTGATATGCCGGGTCTGACAGAGGATAACAGCTAAAGCCACACCTAGAATATACATTACATAGTTGATTTAATAAGGTCACTTTTCAAATTATGAAGGGTTCAATTCCTAAACTGAGAAAAATAAACAGTAATAAACTCCGACCGAAACAGTCCAAGAGAAAGCAAAACCAAACTAAAACGAAAGTAAATGATCTTTGTTAATGTCTACTTCTTATTTGTTAACAAAATCACCTTAGAATTAAGTGGCCTTCTCAATTTTTTTTTACCCTTTATCAGCATAGCAAATACTTCCAGGTTTGAGTCAGGGCCTACCTCAAATCCTAGTGCCAAAAAATGAGAGCAAGCAAAAGAGAGGCAGGGAAACACAGACACGCGGGGGAGGAGGCCGGGGGACTGGGCGGAGGAGCCCAGAAGAAACACCAATGTCACACAAAACTGTGCACTCTCTAACCTTTAAGGAAGGCAGCAAAAGACAAGGCAGGCCCAGGCCACCTCGGCCCGACAGGAGCAGCCGCTGCCAGCTCCTTCAGCTCATCACCTCACTATTCCTGAGCTTTAAAAACAGGCTTTAGAGAGCCGCAATTCCTCCCGACCAAACACAAGCATCCTGCCCCCTCCTATTTCCAGGCTTCTCTCTCTGGGTGTGGTCTACACTGTGATTTTATAAGTGTTGCTCAGTACCGGCCGTGTTCATGTCATACTGGGGCTACTTTCTCTTGGTATAAATTTCCCTTTCCCCACGTTTACCGTTCTGTTTGTCCCGTTACTGTGATCTTTAGTAATTAACATTATTTCTCCTTGGACCTCTTCTTCAGTTGTCCGATCTTGTATTCTAGCATCCCATTTATTTTCTGCACAAATCTTCGCAGCAGCCCTCTTAGCTCAGCTGATTCTCCACCCCATCATTTAAGGGCTGTGTTTCTTTGAGTCCATTTACAAAACCCCCTTTCCTAGTCTTTTGTTACTCTTTCTTCGAGCAGGACAGATTTTCCCCCAGTTGCTCTGAGAAACAACTGATGGGAAATACATTTTTTTGTTGTTGTTGAAACTCCACATTACTGAAAATATGTATGTTTACCTATTTCCACTCCTCTGGGCTTGGTTTGAAAACAGCACTGCATCTCCTGGCTTCCAGCTTTGGCCCAGGGTCTGTCTGTTTGGGCATTGTCTTTTCATCTCTGGAAGCATGGAGATCTTTGGTTCTGATTTTGTAACTGTGTCTTAGGTATGTTTCCAAACCCACTGGATCTGGCACTCATTGGTAAGCCCCTCTGAGCCCGCACCTTTCCACTTGGAGAAATGCTTGTCTTTGATGCCACACTCCCCACCCCTACCCTGGATTTTTTTTTTCCCTTTTGTTCGAAATTTCTATTTTCTGAACTCGTACCTCTAGAGATGACACCTAACTTTATTCTTTATTTGCTATCTCCTGTTCCAAATTCATTTTAAACAGGCTCCCTCAACTTTTTTTTACTGTAATTTTTCTGGTATCAACTTATTTTCAAGAATTTATTGTTTTCTAATTTGACATTCTATCTTGTTTTGAAATAAGTCTCCCTATGAGGATATTTATAGTTCTTTCAAAAACTTTCCCCACAGACCTGTTTTCTTCCAAGATGTCTGTTTTTGTTTAAACACTGCTTTGGTCTCTTATGACAGCAATCATTTTTAAAAAAATTTTTTTATGAGAGACTTTTCTTAGATAACTCTGAAAGAGCAGCCAGTGCTCTTAACTGCTGAGCCATCTCTAGGCCCCAAAGTTGAACGCCCTTCTCTCCCCCTTCCCTCTGTTAGAGGTCCAGCTCACTGTAATGTAGACATTTAAGCGTCTGAGGCTAAAGCTAGCGCTTTGTCTTGTATTTGTCTATGATTCCTTTTGCGTGTTTTGGTTCTGTTCTTTAACGGTTGCATTTTATCCCCCACTATTTCCTGTCTGGAAAGGGCAAGTTTCCTAGTATCCTGGTGACCATCCTCAAATTCACAGCATGTGTTCTCGCCACAAGTTTCCATTCATTTAAAATTTATCTTCCTGACAGACAAGGGAAATCCCTTCCCACAGGTCAGGTCTATTTAACTGAAAAAGCATCGTTGTCCACTGTGTCTCAACACATTTTCTGGAATACTGCGTCCCTGTCCTGTTGTCTGCCTGCCCATCCACAGCACGCTTTGTTCTTCTTCTTCCTATATCTCTGAGCTCCTGGGACAGTTCCCCACTGGTCTAAGGAACACGATTTTCTGTCCTTTGATTTCATACGAATAAGCAGGCAGTGAGTTTTCTGTACTACTGTAATGTCTCCATTTTGCCCTAATTCTTGTGAGAAACTGTCACCGTGTAATGAATTCTAGGCTGGCAAGTATTTCCAACAAGCAACAAGAAGAGATAACTCCTCTCCTCTTGGCCCTCGGCGATACTGAGAAATCAGATGTTGCTCCCACAGCTGCACCAGCTGCTGTCACAATTTCTCTTTCTTGGGCCTTTCCGACCCCTTACAGTGAGGGTCTTAGATATGCATGTCTTGTCTACCCCACAGAGGCTTTCCAGAGGTGTGCTGGAGACATCCTTGGCCATGCAGCCTGCATGCTGCTTCTGCTTCATTCCACTCTCACTGTCTTCCAGGGTTTGTTTAATAACGACAAAGGCCTAGTCCTTACTTTTCCGCATTTTCCCTTTTGCCTGCTTCATTTATAGTTTCTTCTGCGGTGCCCTCCAGTTATCTGCTTTGGTCTAATCTTCATTCATCCATTAGATTATTACTGTCACTCAATTCGAGAAGTGAATAATTTTGACTAAATTCGGAAGTTTTGCCTTTATTGCTATAAAATAACATGCATGTTTGTGTTTAGCACTTGTCTCCCTGTGGGCCCAAACATGTCATCTTGTCCTGTGGCATCTGCTGGTGTTTCAGGTATTTGCACAGGTCTCCTTTTTCCTTCTGAACAAGAGCTGCGTTTGTACATTTCCTTAGAAAAACAACTTGAGGGCTGATGTGTTTTCAGAGACATCTGTTTGCTTCTGCCAGGCACTGACAGTGCAGAGCAAAGGCTGAAGTTTTCTAGGCCACCCACGGTTATAAACCACAGTCGACTTCCAGGGGCAGTCCTGTATGAGTGGCCATTCAGTAGGGGAGGAGCCATACCCGGACAAGATGTCATTACTATCCTTTCCCTAGTGTTGGGGGATAGCCGATCACACTGTAAACCCCAAGTCTGCACTTGTATTAATTAAATATTAACCTTGGGTCAGAAGGCTGCATTATCAATAGTTGACAGGAAGTAATCACAGAGCATCAGAGACACACAGGAAGTAACAGGGAAGGATTTGGAGTGGTGCAGCCTTTTCCTGTGCACAGGTCTTCTGGATATGCCAGCAAGGACAGGGGGTTAGTTAGTTGATACTCAGCCTCTCTGAGCTCCCAGGTTTTCACTCCAGCCTTTGAATCTCTAATTTATTTATAAATAGAACGATAGAGATTTAGTAACAGCTACCTTTAACGGCAGTGACAGAGCTGGAGCTTAGGACAGAATTCCCGCCAGGCTGCAGTCACAGAAGCAGGCTGCTAACAGCGGAGTTGTAATTGCTGAAGATATAACAACACTCAAGGACAAGCACAACTTATCCCTTCGTTGTTTATTTCCTGATCAGGAAGGGTTTCTAGTGCTAAGGGGGCTACGAATTCTAGCCACCTCACCAAACTCTCTTCTCTTTAATCTTGACCCAGAATCTCACATCTTATCTATCAGTCAATACATTATTGGCTTCTGATCTTTGAAGGCTGTCTACTTACTATCTTTATCTGTCTTTTCTTAAAGACTTATTTTTATTTTATGTGTGCGGTATTGCTGATGGCTTGCAGAGGAAGTTCACATCTACAGAGGGTTTAGGAGAACCATGCTAAAGAGAAACACTTGATTGTATCCACCAGAAAAAGGACAAACCCAACAATCAGAGTGTGCTGAAAGCACCAACAGAGCTGAACACAGTAACCTCTGCTCCTCTGTGCTTTCCTGACACATGTACTACATCATCTCTGTCATAAAGTCTAACTGCAGGAACCACAGAAAACAGCAAGTTAGAATTACTGAATTCCTTGTTTCCCGGTAAATATCATATTTCTGTGAATACTATTGGTTATGTCAACCTTAAATTCTAAAGAATTCCATGAAAATGTTTACTATTATTATCATCACCATCATCATTATTATTTCATGTGTCTGGATATTTTGCCTGCATGTATGTCTCTGCACCACTTTCAAGCAATACTGGCAAAAGTCGGGTAAGGCCATCAGAACCCCAGAGCTGGAGCTACAAATAACCTTGAGTTTCTATATGGGTGCTGGGAATTGAACTAGGATTCTCTGAAAAAGCAGTCAGTGCTATCAGCCAGCATCCTGAAATTTGTTTTATGAAATTAACGATGTATCTATAACATTAGTCATGAGAGCATTTACCTGGGAAAATATACGCGTTGTTTCCTTGGCCCGGGGTGAAGACTCGTCCATCCTCGAGCTGCACTGGCTCAAACGGGCTGCCACTGGCAAACAAACACCTGCCCTGTTAAGATGAAATAATCTCATTTTTTCTGGCCACTTATTCAGGCAAATTCATGAAAGATTAAGTCTTACAGTGAAGTTAGACTACTAAATTACCTGGAAACAAGAAATCATTTGCTACATAATATAATCCTTTAACCTAAATTCTTTAATTAGAACGAGACTTGTTTTGTACATAGCATATAGGCAAATACAGTTGAAAAATATTCAGTTAACTCTTTAAACCCTAACACTCTACTTTCTTTATAAAATTAAAACTGGTAATAAAGAGCATCTCAGATAATAAAGACTGACATGCTCCTCATAATGAAGTGGGAAACAGCAGAATTAATTTGCTACCACTCACGGCCCATTAGTTCAGCTAGCTCTGAGCTTGGTGCCTTATGCACCACTCTGTTTACCTTTCCCTGAAAACCCGGTTTGCTTGTTACCATCTTCCACTCATTGATCAAAAGAACAAACAAGCAAAGCAAAAATTAAGGATTTGCCATTTTCAAGACTTTGTAAAGAGTGTGTATAAAATTTGTAGCAATTAAACTTGAATCCAAATTTTTAAAATCTAAACCCAATGTTTTTCTATTATGGCATGATACCCCCCCCTCCAAGTTTATAATGTGGGCGAATGATATAACCGCACTACTGTAAGAGAACAAACTTGCGTGCTGCCTCGTTAAGGAAAAGTAAGCCTCCACCTACTCTTTCTTTATCTGATGTTAGTACCATGTCTATAGAGACAAGTGATGCTAGTGGAACTCTGCATATGACTGAAAGGGGCTATACATTTAATTCACAAAAAATGTTTACAGTATTATTCCCTTTGTCCCACCAAAATCAAAGCGCAAAAGCCACACAATAGCACTCAAACAGGGCAACCTATCTTGGAATGTTCAAGAACAGCCAATGTTATCATGTTTAAACACCCAGCTAGGTTAGATTAAAGCACGATCCACAGAAAACTGAAATAGCATTCAACAGCTGTCTCCATCTCTAGAGTGGTAGGATTACAAGCACATATCACAACTCCTGGCTAAGGCAATACTGGGGATCTAATCAGCGGTTTCATGCATGTTAGGTAAGCACTGTACCAACGGGGCTATGCTCCCAAGCCCTAATACTAAGTCTTTATAGTAAATGTTGGTCAATATGAAGGGCTATGTTATATTGTTTTACTTTAGTGACACAATTTCAAAATGGTATAAATTCAAAATTTCATTACATGATACAAAGTTTAAGTGTGAGAGCAAGCTAACTATGATAAGGGCACAGGTAAGCATCTCGGATGTTCATTTTCATATGCTAAGTAATTTCCACTTATTCAGTTACAGATGCTCCTCATTCACAGCATAACGTGGTCAGATTTCATGACAGCCGCGGTCCAGTTTTAACTAGACAATTTCCTCCTGTAATCCCAGTCGCTTAGGTGGCAGATGAGAAGGTAACTAGCGCTGGCGGGCAGCCCAGACAACACTGAAGCCCCACTGCACGGAAAAGGAAGGATTCTTCTCTCTGAGCTGCAGAGGGCGTTAGAGCAACAAGTCTTTCTCCCCTAAGAGGAGGAGCACTAAAAACTTAAGAGGTAAATACAAAACTTAACACCACAGTTTTGTTTGACAATAAAAAAGAATTTATATGAGCTATGACTCATTCTCCTCTGGATGTCAAGTTTTTTTTGCTTGTTTACATGTTAAGGTAAACAGAGGATGTGTGAAAGTTTGTTCTCTCCTTCCACATAGGACATGCGAACTGAATTCGAAACACTAGTCTTGGTGGTAAGTGCCTTTACCTGCTAAGCCATCTCCCTGACCTAAAATCTGCATCTTAAAACTGACTGATTATAGTTTATCAAACTATTCTCTTTGGAGAATTTTGGTTCTTTCCAAAAATATGTATTAAGTTTAATAATATTATTCAAAGATAAAATTCTCAAATTTTATTAATTTGGCACTTTGTAAAACATTATATATATGTACATGTACACAACACACACACACACACACATATATATATATAATGTATATTTATTTTGAAAATGTAAGAGCTAATGATATATTAGATCTGAGCCTAATATTCATTGTATAAGAATGGCTTATTTTGGGGAACAACAGTCATCAATTTTACTCAAAACTGATAGATAAGATAAGCAAACAGGCTAACAATAATACTATATTTTGGTAAAAGATTAAGGAGAATAATTTCTTTAAAAATTTAAAATTTTATTTGTATGGGTGTTTTGTCTGCATGTATGTCTGTGTACCATGTGTATGCCTGGTGCTTGTGGAGGACAGAAAAGAGAGACCATTAAAAAAAAACAAAACAACAACAAAAAAACTTCTATACGTTGATTTGTGACTGATTGGAAAAGTAAAGGATTCAATCAGGTTTAAAATCATTCTATATACTAGAAACTGATGTCACAAGAACTATTTATTTTTATTTCTTCTAAACCAAATAGTGACACCAGCAGAATGAGCTGGGAGGACAACCACTGTAACAATGAGAAGAAGAAATGCTAAGTCCATCTGCAATGAAACTAAGTCCAAACAACTCAATAACTTCTGCTTTGTCAGTGATATTCCAGGTCATCCCACGATCATGTCCCCTTTGGTTACAGTAGTGACAGCTAAGAAGTTCGTCTTACAGAGTTTTAAAAGAAGCAGAGTAACCACAGCCATCAGTGGGAGGGAGGAAGAAGGCTCCCAGCATTCACAGCTTCACCTTCAAGGTGACTGCTGAACTCAACAGCGGAGCTGTGGCTGAGCTCCTGAGCAGCTCTGGGGACAATGCACCACATCAGGGGGCACAAAGACAGAGGCTCTAAGCAAACACCTCAGGGCCCAGTTTATACCCGAAGAGCAGCCCAGGAAGGAGTGAGGTCGGGATGGAGACCTAGACCTGACTGTGCCAGTGATTACGGTCATGAAGCCCAGCCTAACAGCCACTAGCAGAGAGGTAAAGGTACCTCAAACCTCAAGTGACCGTCACAGCCTGTCATCCATGCTACCCAGCATCAGACACACAAGCAAACAGCTAAGCTTACAAGAGAATTAAAAACTAGTTACCAAGGGGGAGAAGGGCTAATAAAAATGAATTTATAGAAAGGGAGATTTTGTTACAATCAGAAACTTTAACTATAATTTACAAATTAAAAAAATTAAATGCAAAGACAGAAACTTCATCAGTTAGATGTGGCTGTACAGTCCTGTAATCCAGGCACTGGGATATTAAGTTTCAGCCTGAACATAAGCCAGAAATTGCTTTAAAAATAACAAAAAGAAACAAAAATCACAAAGGGAGAAGATATTCAGTAGAAAGCTGAAAGATGCCAGAGGATAAAGTAAGTATTAAGATGACAACTGAGGGCCAGTGAGATGGCCCTGACCGCTTGAGACTGGATGATCCCCAGGACCCGCATGATACTGAAAACTGACCACCAAGCTGTCCTCTGACCAACACACACGATGTGGCATGTCTGTGCCCACATATATAAACACGAATAATTATGTTTTTAAATTTTTGAGACGGCACAGTACTATTTATAATATGGAACATTTATTTGTTTACTCGAGGGGTGTGCAAGCCCCTGTCTGGACTCACATAGAGAGGTCAGAGGACCACTTGTGGGAGTCAGTTCTCTTCTTCCACCTTGTGGTCCGGACACCGAACTCAGGTGGTCAGGGCCAGTAGCAAAGCCTTCACCCACTGAGCCATCTTAACCAGCACCTCTGTATCATTATTTTGTAAAGATTCTACTTCCAACAGATATGCTGCTTACAACTGATATTTAAGATCTTTAAAATCATCTGGGGAGATATGAAAGAAACAAAATCGCCAGTGAGTTATTAGTAATGAGAATGATAAAGACGTATTACAGTCTTTATTCTTAAGTATATAACCAAGCCAAGTAGTGGTGGTACAAGCCTTTAATCTCAGCACTCAGGAGGGAGAAGCGGGTGGTTTCTATGAGTTCAAGGCCAGCCTGGTCTACAGTGAAAATTCCACAACAGCCAAGGCAACACAGAAAAGCCTGTCTTGAAAAACACCACCACCACCGACCACCACCAAAAAACAAACGAAAAAACAACTGTAACCTAACAATTATATTCATGAACAGTCATATACTGAAGAAATTAAGTAAGAACTCGGCATATCAAGGCACAGAGGACTATACAGTGCACTCCTAGGGCCGAGGAATACAGCACAGTGGTAGCTTGCTGACCTAAACACACACATCCGCAAGGCTATAGGTTCATAAGACAGGACAAAAAGAAAAACAAAATAAAAGCTCTACTTCCTGGCGTCACGTTGATCCACAACAATGGAAGAAGTGATTACACAGTGGAGATTAAAACACCATCCCACAGAACACTAGGGGAAGCCCACTACATACATGCATATTTACATACACACCATATATGCACACATACATACATACATACATATATATATATATACGCTGTAACTGACACACAGTAAAACAATAGTGCCAAAGGCCCCAAAGAACAGACTCACTATCAATCTGGGTGAAAGGATGAAACCCAGTCCAGACAGCCATGAGTTTACAGAAAAGTAAAAGCCAGCCCCAGTAAAAAAGAAAACCATACCCTGGGGTCCATGTTCAAAGCCAGAGCACAATTGTCAAAAAACAATTCAGAAAATAACAAAATAAAAACAGAAAAAACCTGTTTTTAAAGCACTGAGATGCAGCAACTACCAACTGTTAATTCCATGTGGGGTGAAGATACCCTTCAAAAGTTCTTCTGGGAGGAGGAGCATGATCCCAGATAAAAGCAGACAGGCAGGAAGATGGCTATAAGGCAAAAAACTTTAAATGAACACAAATCAAAATGGACAGTTTCTATATAAAAAGAATAAAGAAAAAAAAAGAAGCATATTTGGTTTCAGAGTATCCAGAAGTACATGACGCACAGCAGGTGGGCGAATGAGTGGTAGGCGGAGTTATGACGTCACTGCTCTCAGAACTGATGTCAGACTTGGTGACCCACTACAATTGCCACTTAAATACTGATGAACCACACGTGTACAAACGTATAACTAATAAGCTAATGAAACACATACACAACGTGTGTGCTTTTCATTGATAATACCTCTGTGAGTGTATATGCTTCTTCTGCTGTGCACTCAGCCTGTGCTGTAGGATTACTTAATGCAAATATTATAGGCCTTTCATTGATAGAGGCCATGGCCGTGATTACGCCAGGAGTAAAAAGCCGGCCAGCACCTGCCACTCCTGCAATAAAGAAAGGAAAAGAGCCATCAGCACAGGCATATCAAACCGGTCCCTGCTAAGTTTCTATAGCACATTTACCGTAACAAAACCGCAGGTATCAGTACAAAGATAGATTCTGTATAATGATGAGAGAATACTATGGGGACAGTTTCAGATATGAAAAAAACAACGAAATGCTGACTGAAATTTTCACTTAAATATTTATTCTTTGGCATTCATAGTGAGCTCTAGGAAAAACTGTTAAACCTATGCTCGTGTCCTCCATTCTGACAGCACAGGAGACAGTGCTGAGAGAGTCTACTCCACCGAGGGCCCAGAAACAGACCGTTGGAGGTCAGACAGCAGCTGCCTGGGGAATGCCATGTCATTCAGTGGGCGTAGTTTCGGCTTCAGGGATCCTGACCCACAGGTTGAGAACCACTGCTCTAGAGAGAAACAATGAGTGGATACATTCTGGTTTCCATATTGGGTTTCGAGAGAAGTGAAGCAGAGAACCTTTTAAGATTTTTTCTCAAGCTAAAAAATAATGAGGGTTCTTATTAATAAAAAAGCATAGACATACTTTTCTGAGCGCAGGAACTCGTTGTGAAGATTTTACTTTTCAACATTAAACAGAATTCCTAAATGAACACTAGTAAAATACATGATTGTGAACTCCAATCTACAGCTATACAGGGAACAGCCTGTGTCTGTGCTGAGGATTCCTGGCTGTGTCAGCACAGATATCAGCTATATGAGCCTCACAAAACACCTGCAAAGTTTCACTTTGTTGCCAATGAAATGTCCACTCTGCACTGGATTTTCCTGGTACAGGCTGTCAAATGACCTTGGCCTTTTAAGGCTGCATTCACAGTCAGCAACAACTCTGAAAGTAAAACACTGTAAAGGGCCAGGCATGCCGTCCCAGTGCCTTGGGAGGCTCAGGCAAGACAATCACTGAAGCCCATGTGTTCAAAGTCAGCCTACAGGAGAGTAAAACAGCTTTGGCTTTGTTTTCAGTTGAAGTTAAAATGTAAATTTAAAATTACATTTATCTATTTTGTGTTTATATGTGTATTGAAGGGGCACCATGCCATGGACAATCTGCAGGCCGTGGTCCTCTCCTACTATATAGATCCTGGGGGCTCAATACACACTAAGAGATGTGTAGCAAGCCTTTACCTGTTGGGTCACCTTGCTGGCCCCCATTCCAGATTTTTAGATAATGTTTCAGTATGCAGCCTAAATTGGCCCTCAACTCATAATCTTGCCTCAGTCTCTACAGAGTGTCGAGAGCACAAATGCACATCAACATAACTAGCTGAGCTGCTTTTTTTTTTTTTTTTTTTTGGTTTTTCGAGACAGGGTTTCTCTGTGGCTTTGGAGCCTGTCCTGGAACTAGCTCTTGTAGACCAGGCTGATCTCGAACTCACAGAGATCCGCCTGCCTCTGCCTCCCGAGTGCTGGGATTAAAGGCGTGCGCCACCACCTCCTGGTTTTAGCGTGAGCTTCTGTCTCTTAAAATTTTTATGTCCTCGGCAGTAGTAGCACACGCCTTTAATCCCAATACTTGGGAGGTAGAGGTTAGGTGGATCTCTGTGAGTTCAAGGCCAGCATGGTCTAGAGTGACTTCCAAGACAGCCAAAGCTACACAGTGAAACCCTGTCTCAAATGAAAATAATAAAGTAAAATAAAATTTTTATCCACAGTCACCAAAAATATTACTTTGAGTCAGCTTTTTTTATGTGCAGGGTTCTGCATACACAGATTCAATTAAGGTACACTTTCAATGTAGGCTGGAAATGCCGAAGGAAATAGACTGAGCGTGTACTGAGCATGTGCAGACTTCTGTGTCTCACTATACAGCTGAAGAGCTCTTACACGGCATTTACACAGTTTAAGTGGGGTGTGTACAAGTTATGAACAAGTCCTGCATCTCTTAACATGGGGGATGTAGGTGCAGCAGGTTTGGGTTTGTCCAGTGGGCCTTGACACCAGTCCCCTAACCCACTAAGAGACCACTGCATATGCTAAGAACAAAGTAAAATACATCAACTTACTTTAGCAATCTTACGTGGCAGTTATGGCAGGCAGCTAAGTAACAGGATTATTTATCAACAGCTTCGCTTACCAATTATAACTGAAGGCTTAAGTTCATTTACTGCATCTTCAAAAGTTCCAGGTATGTTCCCTGGGACACAGTGAGCAAACGGTTCCTGGTTACTATCTATGCTAGCAGCCCGCCCCTGAATCAAAAGATAAAATACAATATCAGTAAGTGCATATTAAAGATAATCTGGACATGAGCTATCAATTAGATAAATTTTGTCATTTCTATTTATTTTTCTCTTCAACCTTTATTTTCTAATGTTAACTTCAGAGTCCAAAAACACAGCCCATCAAATTACATTAGAACATAATAAGCTTTGCTGTCTCTCTCAAAACCTCATTCCTTCTATGAATTCCTCCTAAATTCAATATTCACAATGAAGAATCTTTTGTATTTCAGAAATGTAATACAGCAATATAGCAAATATTGCAAATTTGCCCACCAAAAGGGGACACCACAGCCTATCAAATTTATGAACAATCACACCAAAAGAGTTTATTTTTGGTAGTAGGAACAGAACCCAGGGCTTTGAACATACTACTCAAATGCTCTACTGCTGGGGCAAACTCCCCAGCTCCCCTCCCCCTTTAAGACAGGGTCTTGTTTGGCCTAGCTTTGGCTGGTCTCACTCACTACATAGCTTAAGCCCTGCCCAGCCATCTCCAAGTAGCAAAGTTTAAGAGCCCAGAGTACAGGCTTCACTGCCTTGGCATCAACAGCTCTGGAGAGTGGCAGTTAGCAGGGAACGCACAGCGTAGCCAAATGGATGACAGGGTTAGGATCACTGGAAGAGACTGAAAACCCAAGACCCACAGGTCAAGCTACTTTATACATTCTAAAAAGCAAAACCAAAACAACAACAAAACACGCTTGAGGGTACAGGCGAGCAGGGAGTCTCTCCTGTGTGGAGGAAGCAATGCACTACCAACACTACGGTCACTTTAGACTCGGCTATACATGTATATGTACGTAAAGATAACATGCTTAGTACATGTAAATGGGAAAGAACTGTCCTGCCACTAGATTATGATGAAAACACGGGAAAATAAAGTAGTATTGTATACTGAATAGATGAAAATATGTCACATAATGTAAGACATACGATATCTATAGCTGATTAAAAACAGTACCCAATTTAAAGGAGTGCTGGCAAGCAGGCTCAGAGGTGCTAATATACGGGGAAGACCCTTACTATACATGAACTGACGCAGGGGATTATGACTTAAACGACATTACAACAAAACAGTTTCTGCTCAAATATTAGATGTATTTATTGCTAATAGTTTAAACAGAATGTTGGGTCCCAACTCAAAACTGAGCTTTAGTGTTAGGGGTGTAGCCCAATGACAGAATGATTATGCTCGCCTGGCATGCTTAAGGCCTTGGGATCAATCCCCAGCACCACAAACATTTTAGTTTAAGAGAGTCAAATACAATCAGATATAGTAACTATTCCATCTCTTAAGAGCTTGAGAACACAGCAAGAGAGAGCAAGTCTGGTTTCAGCAGACAGATTAAGATTTAAGTATGAAATAAGAGTCTTTATAGAAGACAGTGTCCGGTTAGCTGGAACTGCCAACTTCACACAGCAACCCAGAATCACTCGAGAAGAGTCTAAGTGAAGAGTATAAAGACCTAGTTGGCCTTTGGACATGCCTGGCAGGAGTTAGATGTGTGTGAAGGGTGTGTGTGTCTGCATGGATTGTCCGGACTGCCTCGAAGAAGAACGGAAACCTACCCTGAGTGTGGATGACTCCATGTCATGGGCTGGGCTTTGACAGTGCAGGGTAAGAGAAGCTAGCTGACAGCAAGCAAGCATGTTATTCTCTGCTCTCAACTGTGGCTGTGACACTTGACGTTTCTGCCTTGACTTCCTCACAGTAAAGGATTCTAACCTGCAGCTGTCAGCCAACGCTCCCCAATGTTGCTTTTCATTGGGGTTATTTTATTACAGCCACAAAAATGAAACCACGGCAGACAGCAGATGGGACAGTCTCTGTGGACAACACAGCAGAGGCTAGCTCCTGCACACTGCAGTAGGTAGTGAGATGCAAGACAACACCCCAGTCAGATGCCCTGTTGGTCCTCCAAGTTCTGCATCCTTACCTTAACTAGTAAGCCGTTCTTGTCGAACATCCAGACCTTCCTCCGTGCCTCCTCTTCTGAGAGGCCACTTTCCACCATAGACATGACTATAAGGTTTGCAATTCCAAGGGCGGCCTGTCCGGGAAGCACATGTTTAAAAGTCAAGCCTGGAGAATGAGGTGACGCTCAGCTGCTCTTTATGTAGGGATCACATTATTGGCCGTATCTGCGCTACCTTCCCTTAGAAATCCCAAGTCTCTCTGAACAAATGACTTCTGAGAGATCATGATTCACACCATTTCTGCAAGCTCTAAACTCACTGTGATTGCTGTGACCATCAGTAAGCACCAACATGCTGTCTTACTTTCCTGTTTTCTTTGAGACACTCTCTCTCTATAGTTCTAGCTCTCCTGGAACACACTCTGTAGACCAGGCTGGCCTCAAACTCAGAGATCCACCTGCCTCTGCCTCCCAAGTGCAATGGTATTAAAGGTGTGCGCCACCAGCTCTGGTCAGTCTTACTTTACAGAAGGAAACAGGGTACTGGTTTTAAATTATAAAAGCTTTAGAAACTTACCTCTCCTGCTCCAAGAAATAAGATTTTGTGTTCTGAGACTGGTTTATTAATAACTTTTTGGGTTGCGAGAAGGCCCGACAAAGCAACTGCAGCTGTCCCTGTGGGAAAACCCATGATATTTACAATGAAACAAACAAAAGACATATTATAAACACTTAAAAAGTAGGGGGAAGAATCATTTCATTTTTGATTTACCTTGAATGTCGTCATTGAAAGTACAGTATTTTTCTCGATATTTTCTTAAGAACCTGAAGGCATTATGATTCCCAAAGTCTTCAAACTGGATGAGTGTGTTTCGTCCATATCTAGAAACAGTAAACCCTTTGATAATTGTGTTAAAAGCACCACGATTAGACAGACTTCCTGCTTACTAGTTCTACAATTAGTATCTGAAAGAAGAGATTATACTAGCCCAAGGCCATGACTTTCAGAGCTTGTCAAAGCCTAGAGCCAAATTGCAGACATCCTTTTTAATGAACAGAGGCACAAACGGGCCTATGGCCATTCCCTGTGTAAATACTGACCAAGGCCCAGGAGGGTGTCCAGAGCATAGGAGCACTAAGTGACCCCCTCAAAGGGATTCTTTCTTGCATTTCAGAGTAGACCTTCGAAATGGATGAGCCCCTTAAATAGCAATGACTGACAGCACAGGAAGGTACACTAAGTAAGCACTGGGACAGTGTGTCAGGCGAGTTCATTTTGGAAGGCAGAGAAGCTAAGGCAGGGAGATCACAGGTTTAAGGCCAGTCTAGAAAACACAAGAAGACAGACTCAAACAAATTAACCAAGGAAAGAAAAAGGCAGAAAAGACTGGAAAGGGAACTGCACTGGGTCTTCATCTCAGAAATAACTAATAAGAAAGAAAAGTTAAACAAGGTACATTCTGGTGACCCTGAATTTTCAATGGCCAGAATATATGTTTCAGGGTTCACACTGCAGGACGAGGAGAAGCTGGCTCATGTTGAATCCCTGAAGGCTCTGGAGGATGAAGAACTCACAAAAGCCTCCATCTAGCAAAGGTAACCTACCAGAGGTGTGCGGCATGCTTGAGTGTGGGGACGTGAGAAAGACAGCAGCAGCTAGGAGTCCACAAAGACCCAGGAATCATGAAACAGATGCCATGGAAAACTAGAACAAACTGGAAAGTGTGAGGCAGCCCAGCGTCAAGGCCGTCTGGGTGAAGGAAGAAGGAACAGAGGGCAGGGTGTGGGCCGATAAGCAGTTCAGCTCTAAGTCTGTCAGCATCTTTGCCTCTTGGAAGGAATCCGAGTATCTCCGTGTGCCAGTTATTTTAAATGCTTAGCTAGAGTTTGGAAGATGGCTCTATGGGTAAAAGTGCTTGCCCAGCAAGTGTGAGGTCCTGAGTTCAAATACCAAGAACCCTCAAAAGAGTTGGACTCAGTGTGAGCATAAATAACCCAATACTTTACAGGGAGGCAGAAAGCAGGGGCAGGAGGGTCTCTGGGAGTCTGTGAACCGGCCACAGCATCAAAAGAGTGCCATATGAGAGATTGTATAGTAAAAAAACAAGGACCCTGCTTTATGGCTGAGGGTAAAGACAGACACCAAAGGTTGTCTTCTGATCTCCACACACGGTTGCCATTGTACACACACCAGTACACACACCAGTACACACACCAGTACACACACCAGTACACACACCAGTACACACACACACAGAGAGAGAGAGAGAGAGAGAGAGAGAGAGAGAGAAAGAGAACATGCTAGACCACAAAGATGAAGAATTTGGGTTTTAAGTTGTGGTAATAGAAAAACACTGAGAAATTTTCAGCAACAAAATATATAAGGCAATACACATTTTTACAAGATTAATCCTAATGTTAGATGGGCATGAACTAGAGAGAAACCTGCCGGAGAAGGATTTAGGGGAATCCAGGCAAGGCGAAAGAAGGCTGGGGCGACGAGAAACACACTAAAGAGGCATGCTGAATGTGAGCATGCTCTGACGGAAGGGCTGGTTGATGGAGGAGAGCCACAAACGGCACCAAGATTAAAGGTCTGGCAACGAGGTGAACGTTACTGCCAACGTTAGCAGTTAGGAATAGGGAAGGCAGGCTGTTTGCAAAGGGAAAGAGTTCAATCTGAGGTAGAACAGGATGCAATGACAGAATTTCTCAAGACAGGGTCCCCCAGCAGTTTGGTGTGCAGGGCCACACAGGTGGCTTCGTGAGTCACATGTATGGAGGACACACTTTACTGTATATGCAAGAACTGAGAGTCTAGCTCAGTCACACAGTGCTTGTCTAGTATGTTGTGAAGCCCTGAACTCATTCCCAGGACAGCCGTCCACAAGTATACGTGTGAACAGAGGATCCATTCAGGTGTAGTGCTTGCTAATCGGCTTGCAACCTGAGTTTAGCCCACAGAAAGGTAAACGAGAGACTCCTCAAAGGTGACCTCTGACCTCCATATGCACACAAAAACACATATGCACACACCCAGAAACAAACGAACTCCACAACTGAGCCCAAATAAGATGTCAAAGCTGAAGGAAGGCTCTGGCGGAGGGTGGGAATGAGCCCGGCCGTGGAAGGCTGAGGGAGGAACGCACGCTGTGAGAGCTTAGGAGAGGCGGAAGCAGACAGACTTCCTTCCAGATATCAGGTAATCCCAGCCAGCAATGCAGAACAGAGGTCCCACCTGTGCCAGCACATGTCAGTGGGCATGAAAGAGTTCCCACAACTTAACCCTTCCCTTACAAGCTCCCAGGACATAAAAGGAAAAAGCAGAATGGTGCCCCCCACCCTGCAATAAGAGGTTGTTTCATAGGATACCTGTCAGTAATCGCCTTCATAAACTCATCAATCAGGTCGTCATACAGTTGGGAACGATCTCGTTTCTGATACAAGCCCATATAAAAGGGATCTTTTAATAGTGCCTATATAAGAAAGCGAAGATTAAAAATAGTCTTTTATTATAATATTTATTTACATTAAGCATATAAAACTTTAATCATTTAAGAAACTTAATAGACTTGATCTAGTCTTATTTATATAAATATTAAAAGTTAAGTTTAAGACAAAGACTAACACCTAAAATGACAGGATCTCACCCCTTCAACAAACCATCTTCAAAGAGAGCTGTAGTTTTTTTTGTTTCTTTTAGAACAAGGGAGAATGGACGGGGTGTGTGTGGGGGTGCTACTCACTTTGTTATCAGTTCCCACGTCGATACACACAGGCAGGCATTTCTCGGGCTGTATTCCTGCACATGCTGTGTACAAACAAAGCTTCCCAACGGGGATCCCCATCCCATAGACACCCAGATCTCCAAGACCCAGAATTCTCTCTCCGTCAGTCACCACGACAGCCTTTGTTAGAAATAAAACAAAAAGCGCATCAGAAGCTGCCAAAGTGGGGCACGGAAGAAGTTCATCCTCAGAGAGGGTGGGCTCTTCTGCTCTATTCCACTCTCACTGCAGGAGCAGAATCCTTTCTATCTAATTCCAAACCTGACCCCATGGAGCAGGCTTGAGCTAGGACTTCTGCCTGTTATGAGGGATTAGAGGAGAGTTCCTAGACATGCTTCCCATCTGACTTTGTCCTGGGACTAGAATGAGGGGACAGAGGGATCAAGTATTCTTTGCATAGATTAAGTATTTTTTCCATAGACTGAAACATGGGAAAAGCAAATTAAAGTCCAAGATTACCAAAATAAAAAGTTTAAAAAATAAACAGCATGATCTATCAACCTAGGGCAATCAAGAAAAGCCTTTGCAAAGTAAAGGATAAAACAATCTAGATTTTAAAAAGTATATATAATATATATATATATATAAATACATATATTATGAATGTAAATCATATATACGGATACCTACATATAAGTGTATAAGATGATATTGTAAATTTAGTTATTTTACCGAATTTTTCCTAAATTATCTGAACTAATGATTTTGGAAGGATGGGGGAGGGGGAGGCAGTGTCAAATTTAGCACAAGCTGGCCTAGAATTCCCTATGTAGTAAAGGATGATCCAGTTCTTCTACTTTCACCTTGAAAGTGCAGAGACTGCGCAAGGCTGAACTCACGATTCGTCAGCGTTTACTCTGGTAAAGGAGACATTCACAATGAAGGCAGCGAGATGACCGCAGTGACAAGCACAGTGCTACCCACAGGTCTTTAAAGAAGCTGTCCAATTTGCTTCATGAAAGAGTTACACTGACCATGGCTCGTATTTGCTACATTTTAAAATTCTTTTGACAGTGCAGTACTTACCAAGGATCTAAATCTACCTTAGTCAAAAAAGAGACGGACGGACAGACAGACGGACGGACAGAGAGATACATAGAGAGAGAGAACACAAAATGCCCCTCTCCCAGAGCCGACATTCCTATGCTGTTGCCTTTCCTTTTCTGAGCCAGGCTCTCATGGGTCTGCCTGCCTTTTCCTTCTAGTGTGGGGATTACAGGATTACAGGTCTGCACCACCACACTTGGGTGAGCATTCGCTTTCTCTACCAAGAAACTAAAGCTATGACCAAGCTCACTCTTAACTGGTGCCAATGTCTCACTCAGAGCCAAGCACTGTCTCAGTGCCCCATCTCAGGACGGTTACGACCAGCACCTCCTCAGACACAGAGCAGACATCTGCACGTACATGTGTGTAAACAACTCAGAGCGACAAGGGGAACTTGTTCTTGGCAATCTAGAGTTAACTTACAAGGAAGAGAAGACATTGTGAGAAGGAGGGTGTGCTCTTAGTACCTTTACGTGGTTTTCTGGCCAGTTATCCACAATCGATCTGACATGACCTCTGTCTGAGATTGAAATAAACAACCCCCTGCAATAGGAAAACACACGACAGTTTTCTACGTTTTGTCCATGGGATAAAGACATTTTAATAGAGCACCAAGATATGGTTTAATTTCCAAGCGCTGATTTATTGCGAACATTCCAACTCTTTCAAATGATAATTATGTTGCTTATAGAATAACTGAACAAAGATTACTGTTAACTGATGTGACCCTTTTGCCAAAATGAAACATGTCCATATTGCATGGTCCAACCATCAAAGTGAAAAATAAAGTAAAAATTCCTCCATAGGCTACAATGAATTAATGATACAGCAACATGGAGAAGCCCTGCCCCGTGCTGTGACGACTCCCGTCAGTTCTCACCTGTGATGCACATGACAAACACAGAGGAGCTTCTATGACCTAGCTGACATGGGGTGAGGTCTGTCTAGGCAGTACACCTGCCAACCTTTTCTCCTTTAACCTGAGCTGAGAAACACTCTTCTAATAAGAAACCGCACATGTGACCAACTACTGGGTTATCTCCTAGAAATGTTTTAGATACTTTGGTAAAAGCACCATACAGGTTAGATTAAACTGCACTTCTCAGTGTCTGCGGTAGTGGCATTTCATTTGTATCTTAATAAATAAAGCTTGCCTGAAGATCAGAGAGTAAAACAACCCCACTGGTCAGCCTTACAGACCAGGTAGTGGTGATACACACCTTTAATCCCAGTAGCCACACTAGTTGTCACAGAAACTGGGTGGTGCATGCCTTTAACCCCAGGGGTGCACACCTTTAATCCCAGCCCTAGAGAGGATTATAACATGGGAGGAGACAGCTCTCAGTCACAGTCTCATTCTGAGATTCCTGGAGGCAGGATCGCCTTTGAAATGAGGTTGAGGTAAGAGCCAGGGGCTGGCCGCTGTTCTTTTCTGATCTTCAGATTGAACTCCAATTTCTGTCTTTGAGTTTATATTAATCATGCTTCATTCTGCCAGGGAATTTCTGTCCCATAAGCACAGAGGGTGCTCGCTAAGTTCAGGCTGCCAGATCTTCCTCCTCATCAGAAGCTTGTGGAGAGAGAGAAAGAGCTGGCATGGTTCAACCTTTTAAATAATTCAACAGGTGCTTCTTATAGACTCAAGTCTGAGAGAAGCCTTCAGACTAGATGCAGGGGTGGGGGAGTGGCTGAGAGATGCTCTCATTCCTGGTCTAAATGCCTACAGGGATATCAGTGTGTGAGCTGGGGGGACGGGACAAGGATTAAGGTAAACAATGGATCAGAAGGGACAGAAAAACTCAAATAAAAATAGTCTCAGACAGATCCAGCACATCAGCTTCCTCTTGGCAAGTCTTAACAGGTTCTTTCCCCATTAGACAGGCACCATGTGCTCACTCAAGGACTTGAGGTAATGGCCCATAGAGGGACTGACTCTTCCTACTAAATGTTTGATGGTGGTAGAATGGTCTGAAATTAAAATTCATCACAGCTAATTTTTCATTTTAAAGGGAAGACGGGTATCAGAAATTAAAGCTGGCAATCTGCAAACAGCCTTAATTACGGTCTGGGGCGGGGGAGAGAGGCACAGTGAATACACAGCCCCTCTAATAATGGCAATAGTATTAGGAGCTAGCTACTTCTACAAGGACAAAAGATATGAACATGCTGAGCTTGTATTAATATCAGTTAGGCTTTTAATACAAATTAGGATTTTGTGAGGTGAGAAACCTGACGGGGATAAGACCACAGTAACACACAGAAATCTAATTAGATGTTACAGATTGATACTTTCTTATACAATAATCAATTACATATTTGTATGTAAAAACAAGCCTTACTTAGGTCTTCTAAAAATGTGGCCATACTGGGAGCAGGCAAGACCAACTGTTGGTGTATATACAATTGGCATCAGACTTTCAATATCATCTTGCAGTATTCTATAAAACAGTTTCTCATTTCTTTCTTGTATGCCCATTATATAGATGTATCTGAAATTAAGCACACCAAATGTTTGAGTTAGCTTGCAGCACACTGAAAAACTTGATTTTTCAAATGTCTAAAACAGGGTCCTTCACATACATACATACATACATTTTCTCACACACACACACACACACACACACACACACACCTTATAGCCAAACACAGATGTACTTAAGTGGAAGATGATAACAAGAGAAACAACAGCTAATCCTTTGAACAAAGGCCTGGAAATGCTAAGGGATCAACAGGACACCCACATGTAAAGGAAGAAGCTGAAGGAAATGGTAGGCATCCAAATGCTCACCAAACACTGATGGCCCCAAGCACTGCTCTCAAGTCCAGGGACAAAGAAGCCACCAATGCTGAAGAGTTTATAATCCAGTTGTTTTAAGCATTATGAGGTACAAGGAGAGAAACAACACCAAGAAAACAAGATTCAAATTACAGGCCATTCTTAACTTCTGCTTTCTTTCTCTGAGACAATCTAGTAGATCACCGAGGCCCAACGTGAACACCTACAAGCATCCTTCAAATATGCCCACTTCTCCTCCCCACATCCGGTCTAAATCACTAACCAATCTTCATACAATTTTCCTTTCTTGCTCCAACCCATTCTTTTACAACACATTATCTGGGACCATTTCTAATTGTCCTTAAATGGATCCTAAATGCCAATAAAGTAAGGCGCAAACCCCCATGTACTTTCCGGCCTCATTTCCTCTATCCTGACTTACTTCATCTGCTCAGACAGGATGCACCCGATGGCCCATCTCACTATCTGCTAGGGACAGTTCCTTACTCAGGCCTCCCACTGTGGCTGAGGCCATTCCCCTCCAAGTGCACACATATGCTCGACTTTTCTGTGTTCTGCCCCCACTATATGGTGTGGGAAGTTCTGTATATGTGTTGCTTTTATTGGTTAATGAATAAAGAAGCTGCTTTGACTATATTAGGACAGACTAGAGCTAGGTGGAAAAACTAAACCGAATGCTGGGAGAAAATTAGGCGGAGTCAGTGAGACGCCATGAAGCCGCCAGAAGAGGAAGATGAAAGTAGTTGGGTGGAACCTTGCCGGTAGGCCACAAACCTTGTGGTAAAATATAAAATAATATAAATGGCTTAATTTAAGATATAAGAGTTAGCTAGAAATACACTTACACTATTGCCCAACCAGTATTGCAATTAATACAGATTTCTGTGTGATTACTTTGAGAGTCTGGGAAATGAACAAATGGCCTCCTCCAACAGCTATACCCTATTATTTCTTCTGTATTCAACTTCACATTGCTTTTGCACTGTTAAGGAAGTGATCACCTGTAAAAGGGAGGGTATATGTGGAGATTACATGCAAATACTCTCATGCTGGGCTGTTACAGTGAGCCACAGCTTCCAGGCAGACATACAATCAAAGCTCAGTAATTTGCTCTGAAATGGACTGTACTGTTGAGCTATGGTATTTGGTAGGTTGGACGTACTAAACACACCTTCACCTTATAATAGTTTCACTGTAAAAATGGTTTATTAGAGCTCCATCTTAGGCTGAGACTTCTCTATTTCTATATTTTATTTGGTGAATATGTAAGAAAACTATATGAATGGACTGTATTTTCTATAGAGCTACAGGGATGGAAATGACATCAATTGGTAGAAATTAAAGAGACGATTTCTCCTCACTCTAGGGAAATAATCAAAAGCAATCGGGCCATAAAATGGCAAGAGACGACAAGCATGTTAAGAAACAGGTGACCCCTCAGGCATGTGCACGGGGAGCTTCTCGGCCCCATCACTCCATCTTCATTTTGCTTTGGTCACTTCTGTTTGTCTCACACTGATCTCAGTCTCAACCAGGTCTCTTCAAACACAGGGGTGACAAATGCCCTGAATTCCACACTGATCACAACCCTATCCTCTTCCCTAACTATCCACCATTTGCCAAGTCACAGGTACATACATCTCCACCACTGCAAAACCCAACCAAAGTGTGTATGTCCCTGCTCACCAATTAGACAGTCAACTGCAGACAAACAGGCTGGACTTAACTTCAACATGAGAAGCCTAGACCAATGCCCCCAATCCTGGACCGATGCCACACCTCTCCTTCTCTGCAGAAACTAACACTGTCCATGTAGAACAGCACTACAAATGAGACCATCCCACAAGGCTCCCATACATTTGCTGTGTTTAGACAGGGTCTTACCATGTAGTCAAGGCTAGTCTTCAAGTTATGAACCTGCTCCTCTTCTGCATCACCACAATGCCAGGGTTGCTCTTTTTTGCCCATCTAACTTTGAGGGGCTTCACTTCATAATTGAGTGCCTCTTCCTAGCTGAACAGGCGTTCTCTGTCTGACCTTAGCCCTTCTATATTTTACCTGGGACACTCAAATCCTGTTTCATAAACAAAACCCAAGTCACCAGGCATGAGTCCAGAGCTATCACTAGCACACCTACCCTTACCAACATCTGTATTATGCTCCTCTGGATCAAAAGTCTTCCACCTCTGCACTGGACCCTAGGCCTTCCTCTGGAACCCTGCTGTAGCGGTTTCTCCTGAGGCTGCTCTGTTAACTATGAACACACTCAACTTGTGCCCCACACGAGAATTCTTAAACCAGAGTTTCACTTTATTTATGGCTCAAAGGCTTTCTTCCCCTGTTACTTGAACTTCTTCAGAGCAGAGTACACTTTCTTCCCACCCACTCACTTCCCAATACAACTATCTTTCTGTCCCATCGCATCAGCTGAACTGCTTCCACAGGTCAGCTGTGTTTCTATTTACCCCAACAGACATCCAGTCCTGAACTCAGACTACTCCCTGTGAGAACTTCCTTTCTCATTCTGTTGCAACTCATTAGTTGCAACCTGCTTTAAATTTCAGCCCAGAGAGGAAGTTTTATCTGATTCCCTAAGCTGAGCTAGATGCTCTCAGAATAGACCCCCCATGTGCAATTTTTCTACAACACACACTGAAGCAGACAGAGCACAGTCACAGTACAGTGTAGCTACTGGCTGCTAAACTCCTAGAAGGTGGGCTGTATGTTCCTGGGTTGGTCCCTGGGCTATCATGGGAGCAGGCTAGCTATCAGCACATGCAACATACTTATAAAAGCCAGTTAGCTCCCTCAATATTTGATGTTCCATGCAACTGCAAGGACCTACAGTTTCTACCAGCATGAAAGGGCTCCCATGGATTCTTGCACTTCCAAACCTAGCAGCAGAATGTCACACACACAGTGAGAGAGCAGTGAGAGCCATGGGGTAGAATGTGAGCAAATTAGACGGCACCTCCGTGACCAATGCTCTGATCACATGTGGAATGTGACTGCAAGTCATCCTCACTGCCAAACTCTGATGGAGGAAGGTCATTGGTTAAATAAAAAGAAACTGCTTGGCCCTCATTGGTTAGAAGATAGGTGGGAGAAGTAAACAGAACAGAACGCTGGGAGGAAGAGGAAGTGAGCTCAGACTCCACAGCTCTCCTTTCGGGAGCAGACGCCTCAGAGAGAGACGCCATGCTCCCGGCTCCTGGGCAGACACACGCAATGAAGCTCTGACCCAGGATGGACGTGGGCTAGAATCTTCCTGGTAAGACCGGTGCTCACAGATTATTAGAGATGGGTTGATCGGGATATCAGAATTAGCCAGTAAGGGCTAGAGCTAAAGGGCCAAACAGTATCTAAAAGAATACAGTTTGTGTGTTGTTATTTCGGGGCATAAGCTAGCCGAGCAGGCGGCCAGGGTGCTGGGAACACAGCCCCGCCGCCCCTATTTACTACAAAACTCTACAACAGTGAGCACTGGCAAGTGTGCCCTAAAGCAAAGAAGGCACAATCATCGTAGGAGGAGTTAACTGATAAAGAACAAACTTGGTTATGAGAGTGTTCTCATGCCATAAATAATCACACCATAATTCTAAAAATGACTGCCAACATAAAAACTAAACACCCAACCAACTCTTACTTTTCTAAAGGGCTAGTCATTTTTTTCAAGTTTCTATGGAATCGTAAGGCTTGAATATCTTGTGTCTCTATTTTGGGAGGCAAAAGTCCTTGAAGACCAAGCATTTGTCGTTCTTGTAATGTAAACGCCATCCCCTAAAGAAAAAAACAACAATAGAAATAAAGAATTAAAATTAGTACTAAATGCAGTAACAACAGCACCGTCCTTTAAAATACAAATTAAGTGAAAATTCTAAAAAGTAAAATACACATTCCAGGAACTTCGAAATGTTTCAAGATTGATGAATCACATATTGCTGACTATGTGGGAAGGGCTACTCTTAGAGGGGCTGCTGCTGGGCATGGAAGACAGCCTAAAGCACACCCATTCTTTGGATGCAGGGTTTCCGTGTGGCCCTGGCTGTCCTGAAACTTGCTCTAGAGACCTGGCAGGCCTCTGGCTCCCCTAGTGCTAGGATTAAAGGTGTGTGCTGCCACACCTTGCTGCACTCACAAACCTTAATGTGCACATCTTCTAATCACGCACTATGACCTGCCCACAGCCATTCCACACAGAGGTGTGTAACAGGGATCAGATCTAACAGTGCTCCTAGATCTCTTGGCTGTTACAAACTGAAGTTCATCATCTGTACTATAAGGAATTTATGGTACATCCATACAGTGTACAATAGAGTTCCCTATCAAAGCACACTATTAACCTATTTATGCTTAGAAAATGCACATAAAACTTCCTATTATATAGATGCATGTAACGTATAAATTAAATCAACAAAATAGAGCTAAAAATTAATCTATGTCAACATATTTAATTTCCAGTTTTTAGCTGTGGGATAAATTATACTAAAATGATCCCAGCACAAATGCTTAAGTATGGATTTCTGAAATTTTTTTTCCTCCATAAAAGAGGTAAGGGGTAAAAGCACTGGCCAAATATTTGGAATCAACTTTTTTCTTAGTTCTGCAAAGTTCTGAAGGCTTACAATGATCAGGGAGCATTAGAAAAGCAGCTGAGTTTAGCTTCAGAGAGCTGCTTGAAACATTGTATAACACCCATAGTAAACAACAGGCTGAACAAAAAGCTGCTAGGAAAAGGCTTAGGGAATAAGGCGTCCATAGGAGTGAGACATAGAAAAGCTCTGAGGTATTTGGGGAATACAACATCCAGAAAAGCCTTAAAAGCGCCAGAAGGTAACTGGCAGGTTCTGAGAGCACTTATAACTCCAGATCTAGAAGGTTCTGACACCTCTGCAGGCACAGACACACACACACATACATACACAATTTATAGGAAAAAAAGTAAATCCAACATGTTTACAAAATGGCTACTATGAGATATTAGAAAAGATACAAAGTAGATGAATAGTATTGGCCAAAGAAACAGGAAATAGTCTCAGAAAGATAAACTCAGGGAATCACGATTTTAAGACATGAAAAACAGCAGAAAAAGACAAAAGCTGGAATGGAATAAGAGCCGGGGCTGAACTGCTGCAGAGTTTCAGAGGCGGAGCAACCACCCTGCTCTGCTGGTGTGGAAAGGCCACTGGCTCTGCTTTGTTTTGCTCTGTAATGTTTCTAGGGTTTGAACCGGGTCTCCAAACATGCCATGGTGGTCTCTTTCATCACACTATGTCTCCAGCCCTGGATTAGGAATGAGGTACAGGTTAAGGAGCACATAAAATCTGGAGGCAGATGAAAACCAAGAAGGGGTCTTCTTCTTTAAGCATCTTTTAACCGCAGCTAACACGCTGAGATGTGGTAAACTCAGGGCATCTGCTATTCAGGCCTCAAACCCCTGTAAACATTACCATGCTAACCAGCTCATAGTTTTTTCTTATAATCGAAAAAAAATCAGATTTTTTTCTTTAGGGGATGGTGTTTATGCTACAAAATTTTTATGGCAAGTTTCTTTTAAAAAACAGATCACATCTTTAATCTCAACACAGCATTCCCCAAAAGACATACTTCATAAACTCTATGGATCTATCCTCTGGCAAGCTTTCTCCAAGTACTGTTTTATCAGAATTGCATTTTAAAAATATTTCATTCTCTTAGTTAGGGTTTCTATGGCTGCAAAAAACCATCATAACCAAAAAGCAAGCTGGGAGGAAAGGGTTCATCTGGCTCACACTTCCAGATTGGAGTCCATCATTGGAGGAAGTCAGGACAGAAACTCAAGCAGGGCAGGAACCTGGAGGCAGGAGCTGATGCAGAGACCATGGAGGGGTGCTGCTTGTCCCCCAAGGCTTGCTCAGCCTGCTATCTTACAGACCCCAGGACCACCAGCCCAGGGGTGGCACCACCCACTATGAGCTGGGCCCTCCCCCATTGATCATTAATTGAGAAAATACCTAGCTGGATATCAGAGACATTTCCTCAACAGAGTCTCCTTCCTCTCTGATGACTCTAGCTTGGGTCAAGTTGACACACACCAGATATATTCACCCAGAGTTACATTTCATGAATACCTTTTTATGGTGCTGAGGTCTGAATCTAGGAACGTGGTAAACATGCACTCTACCATGGAACTATTCCCCAACCGCTACTGACACGTCTTCACCACATGCCAGGCACTAAGCAAAGCATGTCAAAGCCTGTTTCAGCAAGCAGGGGCCACTGTTCTGCCATTTTTTTCAGATGACAACAGGTGAGTTGCCAAGGGGTCTTACTCAGATGCCAGTGTCATACAGTAAATAAAGGTGAGAATAAGTCAAAACCCAGGAGGCAGAGGCAGGTAAATCTCTGAGTTCGAGGCCAGTCTGTTCTACAGAGTGCGTTCTAGGACAGCCAGGGCTACACAGAGAAACCCTGTCTCAAAGCACAACATCAACCAACCATACAAAGAAACGAAACCCAGCTGAATGAGAAGGTCTGGTACAGAAAAAGCAACTCTCCCCAAAAGACCTTCGTTCTATAGCAATAGAGCTAGCAGATAAAACTTTCACGCCTTATCGGTCTAACAGCACACCTCCACCAGGAAGATAAATCACATTGGCATTAATGTCACTGACCTTGTTTGTTCGTGGGTTCAACATGAGTGGCTTGCCTTTCTCCTTCAGGTGCAAATGACGACATGTCAAAGTACAAGGAGTGACAACGGCTCTTACCCGGGAAAACATCTTTTCTCTCACCTGGGAAAAACAAAGTGCTCGTAAGAAACACACTGCACCAAAGCATCGCCTCATTTATTTCAAAGGCATACATGACGCTCACTGCACATTGGAAAATGCTTTAGTTTTAAAGGCTAAACTGAGGAGGCTGACAGAGAGAGAGAGAGATACACTACTGATGTTACATTTCCTGACCTTGGCAACTGAGCTACACCCGACTGGAACTAGAATCACCCAGGAGAGACACTTCGGGTGTCGGTGAGCACATTTCCAGAACAGTTTAGTGGGAAATGCCTACCCTGAATGTGGATGACACCATGCATGGACTGGGGTCCTGGGCTGAATGAAAAGGGGAAAAAAGAGCCACCACGTCCCTCTACCCCTTTGGTCCCAGCCATGAGCTCTTACTGTTATCATGCTCTCTGCCATTTTTTTTTGGGGGGGGTCAGGTTTTGATCACAGCAACCAAAAAGCAAATAAATATATATCATCCAGAGGTAAGATATTTCATTTTGAATGCATGTACAAAGTTGCCCTGGAAAGGGGATGCTAGATGTGTAAAATGCATCTTTTGAAATTATTTTAAAAAGAAATCTATGCAGTGGTTTTAAGTGTGCCAGCAAATGCTACAACAACATTTAATTTATTAAAGACCTCACGGAAGACTGCAATGGCATTCCATATAAAGCTGGACTATATAGCTACCTGGAACGCTGAAAATGCAGCTTCTGGTTGTCTACCTGCAGATGTTATGGACAGTCTTTTGGCTTCTCCACTTCTCTTTTCAACTTCCTGGTAAGCGGGAAGAACCTCTGCTAAGTAGAATTTCAAAGCCAAAGGATGCTAACTAAGCAATAAAGCAAAGAGCACAGCTTGACTGTTCAGTTGGGAGCAAAGCCCCAGTCTCTGGCCTGGGAGTTGCTTTGCTCTGGACTCCAAATCCTAGCATGCCAGGCCTGACCCCTCCCGGAGGAGGGGGGGGGCCCAGGACCACTCCCACAGGGAGTGAACTCCCAAAGGAGAAACAAGTGGGCTGCTTGGGCTTTCTGCTGTTCTGTCTCCCAGCCACGCACTCAGCCACCGGAGGGCGTCATTCTTAATGAAACGATGGGAATTTTGATTTGGTTTGATTTGACCTAGTTGGATTTTTTGTGCCGGCGGAGCTATTTTATTCTTATCATTGACCAACTAAAAACTTCCTAAGAGCAACCATAAAATATGACTTTTAAGTAAGCACTTGCTCCAGCTTCCACAGAAGTTACAGAGATAGTATGGACTTCTCAGATTTACTTCCTCTCAGTTTTTAGTTTCTCCTCAGCTTCCCCCAGCAGACAACACTGAAACAATGGGAATTCTCTAGAAAAGAAAACTGTGCACCACACTTTAAATTTTACCATCAAACAAGACACTAGTTTCAAAGTGTCTCAAGACTATACTGTTTTATGGGCAAGCAATACTGTTTTATGACAGTGTAGGTTAGCAATCAAAGAAACGGGTGTGTTTTTCTAAAAGCAACAGGCTATGGCCTATTTGTACATGGTCCTTGACCTAAAGAGTGGTTTTCAAATTTTTTATAGGGTTACAAAAACACAAATGTGAAATAAACACACAGAAGACAAAGAAAACACATGTGGCTTGGAGTGCCTAAACTATTTATTCATTAGTTCTTTACCTGAAAAAATGCTGCTGGCCTCTGCGGCAGAGGCCACGAATCCCTGCTCTGAAGGGCATAAAGTCTCCTGCCCAGGCTGCACTTGCACACACACCTTATGGGCCTGAAGTTAGCACTATTTCTCAATTATTTTCTGCAAATATTTCAATCCAGAGATCAGCAAATTCAAATAAGGCTAGTTTTCTTTTCTTTTCTTTTTTTTCAAGACAGGGTTTCTTTATGTAGCTTTGAGCCTGTCCTGGAACTTGTTCTGTAGATCAGGCTGGCTTCGAATTCACAGAGATCCACCTGCTTCCGTTTTCCCAGTGCTGGCATTAAAAGTGTGTGCCACCATGACCCCAAAAGGCTAGTTTTCAAAGTATTGCTGACCACATAGTCATAGACACTGAAATACTGCCGTCTACAAGTAATCTTCTGAAGCTGTTTTCTGCCACCCACCAGACATCAGAACAAAGGTGGGATACACTGTTTCAAAGGCATTTGCCTAAGGCTAGGAGCCCCACCAACACACCCACATCTGGAGGGTGAGGCTGATGCTAGATAAAACGCAGAGCTGAAGATTTGCAACACTGTCGCAGATGTCCCACTCAGCTTAGATAGCCATCCACACAAGTAACTTTAAAATAAAGCAGGAAGGGGAACGCAGTGACAGGAACAGCAATGAAACGTTTTCTACTCTTGAGGAGGGTAAAAATCACTGTACAAAAAGGGCCAAGACAGAGATGAATCTAACCAAAAATTTTAGAGCAGGAATTTAAGCAGTAAGTGTGTACCTTAAGAAAAGCTGAAAAGAAAGTAGGAAATGGTAAGAAGGAAAAGATGACTAAGGGAAAACTAACAAAGTCCTCACCAGCGACCTGTTCAAACCTATGATCCAATTCTAGGCAGCAATTAAAGTGCAGCTGGGATTTCTTTTAAGAGAAAAGATGCCAAAAATATTTAACAGAAGCAATGCTCTGTGTTTAGTGAAGATTGTACACATAAAACACGAATAACACAATAAACAAACTTGCCTCATAAATAAACACATACATGAAGATCTGGAGAGCCGAAAGGACAGAAGTGAATTTGGTTTTCAATTTTTACTTCATGCAGTTTTTGCCGTTCCTAGAATTTTTACTTATACACAACCTGAATATCCATAAAGATACCCAAATTTACTTTGGTGATCACAAAACCAGAAGATCTAAAAATCACAGAGCCTAATTTCTTCAGATTTACATTTAACTTCCATTTACATGTTGGAAACTTAAGACACAATGTTAAGGGACTAGTGAGGGTTCTGCTTTCCCTGCCATGCAGCTCCCCATTCCTCTAGAAACAAGTAATAGAACTTATATCCGGACCTAGTTAGTGATCTACTGCCTACAGAACAAGGAAGGAACAAAACTATTTATGTGTAAAGAGAAAGCTTTTTTACTCTCTTTCCACATTTCAGTCACCAATTCTGCGAGCTCAGCGCCTCCCTCCTTCTATGAGTTACAGCAAACGCCTGACCAGAACACCGGACTCGCTCCACACAACGGTACAGCAGACACCAAGGATGCCCTGATTCCCCTCACCTGTGACACTACACGGACGGTTAAGATGGTTAAGGACCCACTCGCCGGCCTGGCCTTGCTCTGGTTGCCGACTCTAAGTAACAGATTGTCACCTATACTCTCATCAAGCAGCTTCTCATGGGCGTGACAGTTTGCTAGAATGGGTCACAGTACTCAGAGAAAGATTTACTTTATTTACTGTTCAATTGCAAACGATATAGAAAGGCCGCAGATGAACTGCAGATAGATATGCTGGGCAAAGTGCAGGGAACGGGGTACACTGCCTCCCCTGCTCTTCAGCGTGATTGGCAACCCAGAAGCACATGAACTCCTCTAATTCGGGAGGCTTTATAGAGCTTAATGTCCAGTCCCACCCTTCCCAGAGGTCATGGGTGAGGCCGAGCCTCCAGTCCTCTGGTCCCTACAGTGCCAGCCCTATCCTGCAGCTCTCCCGGAGCTTTACCCAGTTACCTCCTTAGCAAAGCATGATCAACAAGCCTTATCAAGAACAAATGACATTCCTATCACGCAAGAAACTCTGCAACTTGTAGCTCTCAGCAAAGAACAGGACGAAGACCAAATACATTTCATATTCATAGAAAATGTAACTATGAGCCTGATTTTTTTTTCTTCCTTTTGGTCTTTTAAAAAAAAACAACTCTGTCATCCTATATATGTATATAATATGTATAGAATACATTCCCGTAACATATGCACACACCCCTTCCTCCTCCTATCCTGTGGCAGTCTCTTGACCTGTTGGGTCCCCCTCCCATTATCAAGTCTTCTGGATAGGAGTTTGTTTTGTTTGGTAATCCTTTTCCCCATGGGGATGGGAGGCAGGGATGCACTCTATAGCCCCAAATCAAGTAAATCTTCCTGCCTCAGCACCTGAGTCATGGAACTACAGGAATGAACCCCCACACCTAGCTCCTTGAGATGCCTGTGTAAAGCAGAAGATTACAGCTACTTAGACTAACTCCATAGCCCTAACGTTAACTATGCTCTCATTAGTGGATTTCCAGACTTAAGCAGATTTTCCTTGAATCACACCTACAGTTCCACCTACCTTAGACTTCTTAATTTGTTAAAAGCCATGAAAGCTCAGTGACAGGAACTAGCATGCGGTATTTCACCCAGCTTAGCCGCTGCTCCCTGGGCTCCTGCTCTGCTCTTCCTTTCATGTTTCAAAGTACAGCCCTTGAAACTTTCCTTCGGTTTTTTCCTTCAGTTTTTAATGTAGTTATTTCTTTTCTCTCTAAATCCCATATTTCCAACTAAAGCTACTAATGAAACAACTCTATCCTAAATTCTCATAGCTCTTTAACGATCCCTTTCTTTCTCTTTTTGAGACAAACCTCGTATCTCAGGCCTCGAGCTTTCCATCTTCCTGCCTCCACTGTGCAGGCATGCACCACGGTGCAGACATGTGCCACTGCCTGGCTAGTTCTCCTGCAGAGCTAGACAGCAAACCCAAGGCATTGTGCACATTAGGCAAGCACTCTCCCAACTAAACCACATTCCCAGCCCTACTTACCTATGTCTGATTGGCATTGTTTTCCACTTTATTTGTCTATATTTCTATCTGAACCTGTTGATATAATTTAAAATTCTGGTTTCATTATATATTTCCAAGACCTTTCCAAGACCTTCCAAATCACTCTAATGTCTTTGGTACCCATGTATAAATTTTGGTTTCTTTCATGGCGTCATTTTTATCTGAGGAAGCAGTAGAGATCTCTGCTAGTGGCCTGACATGTTTTATGTGCTCTAGAAGCCAACTTTTGGAGCCCACTCAGAGTTTGCTTCAGTGAGACCCAGGGTTTATTGCCTAAAACCAACTCTTAAATTAAATTGATTAAATGGATGCCTATCTCCAAACCCAGATTCAAGTGAGAGAGGTCTATGATCATACTTACGATGTGGGGTGACTAGCTTAACCTACCTCCATCCTAAGCAGGGCACAGACTTCCAGTCCCGCCTACGGGAAGGTCATTGTTCTCCTACTTCTCACTCAGTACATAAAATTCTGACTCCTAAGGGTAAATGGGGCCTAGGAAATCAATTTCCAGCTCCTGCAGAGCAATAAATACTTCACTTGTCCTTAATTCCCCACATAACCAGGGCCACCTACCCACTTCAACTCCAGGCCACTGCCGGGAGGGTCTTTCTTCATTCCTGCATATGAAGATTTCCCTTTCAAACTTGCCTCTGTGTTTGTTTCTACTTCATTAACCTCACTGTGCAGGAAGGGGAGGGTCTCTCAGGTGGGTGTTTCTATCTGCACACAGGTCTGTGTACCATGCCTAAGGAAGCCAAACGAGGGTGTCAGATCCTGTGGAACCAGAGTTACAGATGGCTGTGAGCTGTCATGTGGCTACTGGCAACTACACCCCAATCTGTGCAAAAACAAGTGCTCTTAACTGCTGTATTATCTCCCCAGCCCCTACCATGCAGTACTCTTTATATTCTACCATCCCTGAAATCCACAGCTTTCCTCTGCGGTGCCCTACTCCAGAGTTTCACAGATCCTGGGACATGCTCCAGGAAACTTCAAAGTTTCATGGATCCTGGTTCTCTGCTGGCATGGCCACTGCCACTCTCCCTGTCCCCTTTCAAGAGTAAGTAACAAGAGAAAGGAGTTCTTGAACTCTGAGGCTGTGGAACTCTCTGGGTGTTGTTTACAAACAGGGCTTCCAGTGTACTTCCAACAGGAACGTCAACTGTAAAGTCACACCATGCCCTGGGGACAGAAATGAGGTGGTCACCATCTGGAAAGGTTATCCACTGGAGACCAGCACCATGGAGACCAGTGCCACCGACTCTATTCAGAGGAGAGGAGAGGTCATGACTTGGAGTAATGAGTCCACTTAGCAGTTACAGACCTGAACTTGAATGTGTTAGGAAGAGATCCCAAACGGTCTTTGAATTGGCATAGGGGTTAGTCAGGTTTTCACTGGCCTGTGGCCACCTAAGGAGAGACTTGGGCAGTGTAATAATATAATTCTTAATAGTAAATGTATATTTATTTTTATGTTATTAATTATGACCTTCCCTTTTTGGCAGTTAAATCCTATCTTTTAGGACAGGACGGGGACAGTGGGCTTTGGAGGGTACTTCTGATGTGGTCTTAAAGATACCATTTTGCTATGCTCCAAAGGCTGGTCTTGAAGTCACTAATTAGAACAGGCTGCCCTCAAGATTACATACAGCAACCCTCCTGCCTTCCAAACAGCAGCATTTGCAGTAGGTTTTAAAAAGGTTCTTAACTTAGAAGTTGGCAGTTTCCTCTCTGGTCCCAAATACTCTCTACATATATACTTAAAAAACAAACGAAACAAACAAAAACTGTTCATGAAGTTTAATCTAGGAACCAACCACTCCATCAGAACACTCGTTTTTCTCAGGAAAGCGAGGGCTGGGGAGACGGTTCAATGAGTACAGTGCTTGCTTCACAACCATGAGGACTCACGTTTCAATCCCTAACACCCACACATAAAAAGCCAGTTATGTGGGTGTAACCACAGAGCTGAGGGTCGGGGGATTGAGATGGGCAAATGCTGCCAGCCAGTCTAGACAAAGGTCATCTCTAAGCTTAGTGAGAGATCACGTCTCTGAAGAAGACAGAGCAGCTGAGGACATCTGTGACGTCTGCATTAAGTGCGCACAAGCACAGCACACACAAAAGGAAAGGCAAACCCAAGTGACAAACTTACAGAATGATAGCGTATATGACGGCACATATGATGGCGTATGTGCACACACAGTAATCTCGTCACAGGCTCCACTGCCTGACTTGAAGGTTTTTCCAAGACAAAAGAGAGACCCTAAGGGCAAGCTATACAGCCAAACTGCCAGGACCTAAACCCTTGTTTCCTCACTTGCCGGCTCGACTAATTCATAGTTAAGTCACACCCTCGCTGAGTTTCAGTTCTCGTAGCTCACAACAAGAACTACTCAGAGGGCTTTCTTCGCTCCCTCAAGCTTTAAATTAAGACAGCTTAAATTTAAATTAGACTCCAAATGCTTATTGCAAGCTGTACAAATGCTCCTGATCCAGCACTTCTGCTGCTGGCTACCATGGCCAGAAGCTGATGGTCAGAACCTGCATTCTAAGCACCAGGGAGTTTCTGCATCAACACTTTTTAATGATTAAATTTAGAGGCTATGAGGATGATCGAAATTAACATTTAAAATACTTCCTTCTCTAGGTCGAGAAGGAGGCTATGAACAATAGCACAGAGACCCAGACGACAGAAAATACTCTACAATATCTACAGAAGTAATATGTTCTTCACTTTGAAATTTGTAAACACTGCTCAATTTCAGCTGTATAAGCAAAATGATCACCTTCAAATAAACTAGTTAACGTCCATAAAATAATTAAATTTTATTAAACCAAATATAACTTTGAACTCACATTTTGTTCCCTAAGATTAACAAATCTTAGTGGAGTTTTGTGTGTGTGTATCAAAATATAACTAGTTTGCTTCAAGTTCAATGAGTTATAATTTCAGTTTAACACAATATAAAATTTAGTATAGGTAAGAATTTTTAAAATGGAATTAAATGTAAATTAGGCATAATAACATCATGGAAGCTTTTAACTTAAAGACTACCACCTCCAAAATGAGCAGGGTATGGAGGCTCAGATGTGCATTTGGAGTCAAGGCAGGAGAATTCTGAATTCCACGCCTGCTGGGGCTATGTTGACCCTTTCTAAAAACCAACCAACCAAATAAAAGCACAACAACCCTGAAATGGTGAGCCCTTCATGACTCTGAAATGCACTTTTATAAGTACACTGAACTCCTTAGAAGGATGTGACTCAGATGCTTCTTCATTAGCAACTTTTGAGGAGAATGAATGAAGCTCTAATTAAAGCAAGGTCCAGCAAGCCTGACGACGACAGAGCAGCATGGCAGAATTCCTGGCCAGCAAACTTCCAAGCTTTCATAGCCGCACCAAAGAGCCAGTTTCAGCTTATAATCAATGCTCCAGGCTGACTCCTTAAAATCCAGTATTCAGAAAGTTAAACGGTTGTATTTTTGGAAACCGTGTAGCAGATGTATAAACCAGCTAACTGCAGCGGTTATACACAAGACACATTGATTTTTTTTTTAAAATTTATTCAGGGGATGTGACCAACAGTTTCTTCTCTAACTTCCAGAATATTTGGAAACTACAAATAAAACTTTGTATTACTTCGCAATCGCTCAACAACATAAACAACACTTAAGGAGTATGCACCGTTAAGGGAAGAAGAGCTATGACCATAGCTTGAGTTTGAATCCATTCCCTCGCTTACTTAAAGACTCAGGTCTTGAAATAGTTACTTAACCTTCCAAGGTATTTACTGGGAGATAAGAGCACAAACCTGAAAGGATTATTCTGGAGTAACGTGTTCAGAGAACAGCGCCCAGCCCATTTCTAACAACAGTGCTGCTACTGTTACCAACAATGCCGACACCAACAGAAATAAAACGTTATTAACTGCTTTGCTTAAAGTGACTGCCACAAGCATTTAAGAGGATAATTCCAGGGATCCAACGTTACTAGGGGTGCACTTCTGTTGAGGTCAGTTATTTTGATCATGCTTATCACCACAAGCAACACACATTTTCTAGAATGATCATTAGTACTCTCCAAAATAAGGTCGAACCTAAAGCCACAAACGCAACACCACACTCTGGGTTGGTTGTGAAGAGCGTCAGAGTCCTCGGCCAACCCCGGTGCACAGGTGCCATTACAGATGAATGGACGGAAACACGCCAATCTTAGAACTTTCTAGCTTGCAACAACTCATTCTTTTAAAATGAGGAACACACGCACAGCCTAACTCCTGTGCCTCCCCGAGCTCTGTTGAGAAAGAAATCTTGCCAGAGGGGTTTCGAACCACAAAGTATGTCTTTCCCCCAGCGCAGGAGGAAAAGAGACCGGGATGCTCGAGATCCAGAAGCCACCGAGCTGGATTCCTGGGAGGAAAGCGGGGTGTCCTGGCACCAGCGAGCCGGACCCCAAAAGAGTGCGGCGCCCCTCCCTCCGCCCGGCTACCCACCCGTCAGGCGGGCCGCACGCGCAGCTCCCGGGGCGGAAAGGCCCGCGCCCACCCCGCCCCACACCAGGCCGCCCGCTCCGCGCCTTACCAGACCCTGGCCCGCGCCAGGTGGTGCTGTAGGCAGAGAGGCCGCGGCGCTACAGCCCGTGATGCTCGACCCTGGCGCCGCCTCTCCCGGCCTCCCGTAAGCTCCCGGCAGCCGGCGCCAGCTCCGGCTTGCTCTGCCGGGGGGGACCGCCCCACACGCGCAGAGGTAGCGGAGAAAGAGGCGCGGGCCAGTGCCGGGCGGACGGACAGGCACACGAGCCAATGGGAGGCCGGGATCTGGCGCGAGGCGTGGACTCCGGCCTAGTCCCGCCTCCCGGCTCGGTTCCTCCGGGCGGCACCTTCCTGCGCCGGGTTCCTGGGTGTTAACTGCTGTGAGGTGGCGCGCACCAGTTCCTGTGCGGCCCCGACGGCGGGAGGAGGGATGTGCTTCGGGAGAGCAGGGTGGTACCCGGTTCCATGAGGACGCGGCGGGTGGCTTATGCCGGCCACCGGCCAGGCACTCCGGATGGGCAGGGAGTTGGCAGCCACCGCAGGGCGTTCACGCGAGAAGACGCTGTGCGCAGGCGCGGCGCGTGGTCTGCGGGTACCACATCTCCTAGTCCACCAGACACGAGAAAGTTATGATGTGGGTTCTCGTGGAGGAGGGAAGAGATGAGTAGGAGAATGGCGAGTAGGGAGCACAAGAAACGCGAGCTCTGGCTGGTGTTGTATTTTTCTGAGCTGTATTTATTGGTGTATATAGGTCTTATGCAAAATTCTGTGCCATCCTACATGGCTGCTAGCCCAGTTACTGACCTACCGGGAATTTACTAATCATTAGTGATACCACCGTCACCATGAATTCAGTGTTCTTGGGAAAGCTCTGAAACTCTTAGTATCCTGGAAAGCAGCAAGGAACACACACACACCTTCCTGAATCTGTTACCGCCTACAGCTAGGAATTTTGGACGATATTTTTGTTTCAGAAGCTATAATCGCTAAAAATTATTCACTATAATGGATTCTTTATACGCTTAAGGGATAAAAATAGTAATGTTTAGAAGATAAAAGGGTAAATAAAGAGAAGATAAGAATTTTAAAGATGATGGAAATGTATAAGAAAAGTTTAAGGGAAGCCAGCGAGAGAAAAGTATGTTCCCCTCAAAGGCAGGCATTTCCACGGCCCTGAACACTGAAGGGTGGGGCACTTGAGGGAAACTACAGTTAGCAGACAAATAATAGGTATGGCTGTTGCAGTCACCACCGCTGTAAAGAGGAACTATAAATAAGTGTGGCCTGGCATAACCCTGCCTGCCAGAAGCTCAAGGTGTGGCAAGCTGGATGAAAGACGCTGCAAAAGAGCAGGTGTCATGGATTCTTCAGCAGTGAAGCTCTGTTGTCCTTGAAAGCCTGCCCTTTGTTTGGAATATTCCAGGTGGAAGGGTTGCCAAGTGCTATCGCGGTGGGATTTAGTTTGAGGTCAACAGAGTCCTCATTAAATGGAATATCTGCTAATGTCAAGAAGACAGCCACCCATTTGCCTGATTACTGATTTGCAGATTCTCCCAGTGAAAAGTAAACACGTCGTTATTAGAAAAACGAGCTCGTGTTTGTGCTGCTCCTCCTCTTCCTACCGCTGTTCTCCCCCTGCCCCTCCCCCCTGCACACACAGAGTCACCAGTGAATACTTCAGGCCTGGTTTAAAAATGTGTGTCAGCCACCTGTGTTTCCATGAATGACATCTGTCTCCGTGTCCTAAGATGATGGGCGAGGATGAAGGCTGATCCGTGAGCACCAAGAGTGTGAGGAGCTGTGCTTTCACCCCTATGGCACACACATGCATATGGGAAAAGCAAACATGGCAACTTGCTGTGCTCCTTTTGAGAAAGCATAGGAAAAAGCCCGATGTTTCTGCAAAATGTGGGTAATCATTAATGGTGACTTAATGCTTAAAATCCTCATTTCTGCTTTTTGTAGTCAAGAATTACATCAAAGGCTAAAACTCCTGAAATAGTAAAGTGGTCATTGCTTTGCAACTGACCAAGAGTGAAACAAATACACAAGCTTTAGAAAATTCTGTACTCTTCTGAATTTACTGATTAGCAAGTTCCTAATCTGTTCAGAATTGCTAGGATCAAGCAATTTTGTCTTCAAATGGTACTATTTTTGATTCAATAGTAGTTATAGCAAGACAACAATATACCTTTTTAATATTTGCATTTATTTGTGAATCTGGAAGGCATGGGCACACATGTATATGGAAGCCAGAGGGCAACCCATGGGGGAGTCGGTTCTTACCTTCCACAATGGGGAATTGAACTCAAGGAGTTAGGTTTTGCAGCAAGTGCCTTTACCTACCGAGCCATCTCTCCAGCCCTCGTTAGTTAATACTTAAAAGGCAGAAGATTATCCACTCTGGAGAGAACTAGAATATTAATATTTAAAAGGCCAAAGGAATCATACATCCCTGGTCCTTCTTTTACTTTTCATTCAAGACAAGGATCTCACAAGGATGCTCAGGTTGGCCTTGAACTCACTGTTGTGCGGCAATTTCCTCTGAGATACAGCCTTCCATATTAGAGAGGAGCTCTATCAAAACGTGCTGTTCTAAAGCAGTGGTTCTCAACCTGTGGGTCATGACCCCTTTAACAAATCTCTAGCTCCAAAAATACTTGTATTACAATTTTTACAGTAGCAAAAATATAGTTATGAAGTAGCAATGAAAATAATTTTAGGGTTGGGCATCACCCTAAAATGTATTAAAGGGTCTTAGCATTAGAAAGGTTGAGAACCGCTGTTCTAAAGGGAGGCAAAATATCCTGTCCTGCAAGGAAGCTCATTAAAAACTAGGAAATAAACAACTCAAAAGGCTCAGGAAATCCCTAAAGCAGAATAGCTACACTAGGTCCCTTCCTCCCCAAGTATATATAAGCAGTAAAGACTACTGAGAGAAACTCTCAGATAAGCCATCTGACTAGAAAACTCTCCCATAAACTCGACTGCTTAGAAGAGCCTCAGACCAACTGAACTGCCTGAAAAAAAAATTATTCTCCAACCTGTTGGGCTCCCTGCAGGCTTTGTGGTATACCCTAGGTCTCTAACTTTCATGACTTGTCATTTTTGCTGGTTGGGCTTTTGGTGACTCAACTGTCTGAGTCATTCTGTGTCTGTAGTAACGCTTGACTTATACTCTTGTAAGTAACCCTAATAAAACTCATAGGTTCACCAAGTTGGATTTGGTAGTTTCCTTACAGTGGTGGCGTGAGTGAGAAACGTCCCCATAGGCTCCTAGATCTGAATGCGCGGTTACCAGGGAGTAGTACTGTTTGAAAGGATTAGGAGACGTGGCCTTGTTGGAGGAAGTGTGATACTGGGGGTGGGTTTTGAGATTTCAAAATCCCATTCCAAGTCCCGAGACTCTCTTTCTACCTGCTGCCCGTAGATTCAAATGTAGAACTCCAGCACCATGTCTGCCTGCGTGGTACCATGGTTCCTGCGATGATGGAAATGGACTAAACCTCTGAAACTGTAAGCAATTTCCAATTAAAGGCTTTCTTTTATAAGTTGCCTTGGTTATGGTGTCTCTTCACAGTAATGGAAAAGTAACCAAGCAGAAGTTTGGATTTCGTGGTATCCTTACTTAGGCCAGTCATGAGCTCTCTGTCTGGAGTAGGTAGACATTTGTGCACATCTAGGAACAGTGTCACACATACCTCCCCTGAAGCCAGTATAGAATTCTAAAAATATTAATTAAAAAGTCTGCTGCCTGGCACAGTGGGTCAGAGGCACACAGAACAATGTATGATTATATTATGATTATTATATTCTTGCTACTAATAACTCTAATAACCTCAATTTTATCTAGTAAGTGTTATGATATATTCTATGGAAAGAATGATAATTATGGTTATAGGAGCAAGATTTTTTTTGTACATTTGATCAGTGACTGTTAGAAATGTTTTTTTTTTAGATCTTAAACCAGAAAATCTTAATATAATTGATTCATACAAATAGAGTATTATTTTTTAAAATAAGAAATTTAGAAGTAGGGCTTAAGGCTGCATATGGCTCAATCACTTTCTGAACGGTCCCTAAAAGAATGAAAGATTTTTTCCAAAGGAGGAGAATCCTTTGTAAATGGAGCTAGATGCTGTTTACCCTGGACCAGAAAGAAGCATGGTTCAACTCTAAGCAGAGTGTAGATGGAGATCCCATCACACATGTCCTAGGAAAGAGTCATTTGGATTCCTATGTGTCTGAATGTTGGGGTACGTGTGCAAATTTTCCTGGCAAATGCTTTGGTTGAGAGGTTTTTTTTTTTTTTTTTTTTTTTTTTTTTTTTTTTTAATTGCTTGCTTGTTTGCAACAGAAGGAAAGAGCACACTTTGGGAGTTTAGATATTTAAGTTCAGAGGCCCTCTCTCCCATGCAGTTTTTAAAACTGGCACCTAGAGTACCTCTTTGTCTCGGAGGTAGGTGTGGCTACACTTTTCCTACGTATCCTCAAAGGGCATTGGCAGAAGGATTTTTGTAAATCCTGCACGGAAATACAAATGCAAGCACAAAATTCTCACTTAGGCTCCCTACCTGACTCATAGGTGATGTTCAATAAATAGTAATTACTAACTATTATTTCATTGGGCAGTTAATTTTTGCTATACATTGCTTTTTAAAACCTCATTTACATACTAAAATTAGTTCACTGACTTAGTAAACACTCTGAGGTTGGCATAACTATCATTGTAGTTTGCTTATGGGAAAACTGGAGACTTGAAGAGTACCATGAATAGGAGAAAAGGGGGCACAAACTACACTGTAAAGCATTGGTTTTAGTATTTTTATAATTTAGTAATTTATAATAAACATGTAATTCCATGTGTTAAACTCAAGAGAGCATTTGGTGTATTATTACCCCTTCCCTACCTGGGAAGCCCTGCTCATCCTCAACAAGTACAGCAGAGAGTTCTATACTTTGTTAGAGAAATTAAATTTTCTGGGCCCCACCTGTACCTACTGAGGAAGAAACACCAAGTCTGGGGACAGAATCCCGAGCTCCAGGCATACCAGATAAGCCATCTACCACAGAGCTCCTGCCCTGGCAGGTAAGTGGAGTACAAGCTCAAGTTTGCTTTGTATCCATCAGGCACCATTTTCTCCTCAGAAGAGCTAAGTGGGGAAGAGTCATTATAAACAAAGTCCTTTTCTCAAGGCGTTCCTGACATAAGACAAAGAGAAAGCATTTACTCACACAGGCATCACGAGACAGTGTGTTGTTGAATGCATCTTCTCATATGCATATTATAAAGAGCAGTGTGGTGAGAAATGTTTGCAGGAGACTTATAAGATGGCAGTGTCCAGGTCAAGGAACCCTGATTGCTCTTCGAGCTGATGAGGGAGGAGGACTTGATCGGGGGAGGGGGAGGGAAATGGGAGGCGGTGGCGGGGAGGAGGCAGAAATCCTTAATAAATAAATAAATTTAAAAAAAAACAGATATCAAGCAAAAAAAAAAAGATGGCAGTGTCACTCTGGGGAAAATGGA